CTAGACAGAGACATCGTCTGTGAGGTTGGCTCGTTTGCAGAAGAAGACCTCGTCATACCACATCGATGGCTCAAGGAGCATCAACCTACCATACATTGGGGACAGAATAAGGTCACCTTCGACAACATTCATTGTCAGATTAAGGGATGCTTCATGACCATGTATGATACATACGAGGAAGACCCAGAAGAGCTCATCATCAGGCTGTTGAGGTCGTCAACCCAGACACAGATGATGATCGAGGAACACCCATTCTGGGCAAGAGCATTGGTAAACGAGGCTCTCGTTAGTGCTATACCAATGGAGTATCAGGACTTTGTCAACGTCTTCTCCAAGGAGGGAGCCGATCGATTACCTGATCACTCTGAATGGGACCACACCATTCCCCTTATGGAAGGAAAGCAGCCTCCATGGGGACCGATCTATGCGCTCTCCCCAGTGGAACAGAAGGCACTCCGGGAGTACTTGGACGAAATGCTAGCCTCTGGCAAAATAGTGCCCTCCACTAGCCCGGCAGCAGCACCCATTCTGTTCGTTCGCAAGGCCAACGGGAAATTAAGGTTATGCGTAGACTTTCGTGGCTTAAACGCCATCAAAGTCAAGAATCGCTATCCTCTCCCACTTATGACAGAGTTGGCCGATGCGACGAAAGGAGCAGAGCACTTCACCAAATTAGACCTGAAAAATGGCTACAATTTGATTAGAATCGCTGCTGGCGAGGAATGGAAAACAGATTTCAGAACGAAATACGGCCACTTCGAATATCGGGTAATGCCTTTTGGCTTAACCAATGCACCAGCGTCGTTCCAGGTCATGGTTAATACCATATTCAAGGATCTATTGGATCAAGGCGTAGTAGTCTACTTGGATGATATCCTAATATATTCAAAGACTAGAGAAGAGCATACGACTCTTGTGCGAAAAGTATTGTAGCGACTGCAACAAAACCACCTATACGGGAACCTCGAGAAAACGGAGTGGTACAAACAGGAGGTAGAATTCCTGGGATTTGTACTATCAGGAAAAGGGAACCAGGTGTCGCCTAAAAAGGTGAAAGTAATCACAGAATGGTTGGCACCCACCAAGGTTAAGGAACTTCAATGTTCCCTCGGGTTCGCCAATTTCCTACGACGGTTCATCCACAGGTACTCTGAAATTTGTCGACCAATGACCGACCTCTTGAAGAAGGGTTCCATATGGCGATGGAGCAGGGAACAGCAAAGCGCTTTCGACGAACTCAAGAAGAGATTTACGTCTGCTCCAATACTACGACACTATGACGAACACCACGAAGCAATCATAGAAACTGATGCGAGTGACTGGGCCGAGGCCGCAGTACTCTCTCAGGTGTTCGAGGACGGTATTCTACACCCGGTAGCTTACCACTCTCGCAAGTTCAACGAGGCAGAGGTTAACTACGAGATCTATGACAAGGAGATGCTCGCTATAGTTTCTGCTCTCTTGGCTTGGAGACATTGGCTGGAAGGAACGGACATTCCTATCTAGATATATTCGGATCATCAGAACCTACAGTATTTCACAACGACCAAGAAGTTGTCGAGAAGACAAGCCAGATGGGCCGAAAGATAGCACCTTTTCGCTTCAGGATCCATTACCGCCCAGGCGAAAAGAATGGCAAGCCAGATGCACTTACAAGGCGCCCAGAGTTCGCTATGGAAGGGGGAGTGATGCGTGAACAACCCGTAAAACAGTTGCTCAGCAGCAGAACAGTTTGTCCGAAAATCACGGACCAGTGTAGAAACTGGACCTGAAATTATCGACAGCCCCGAAGAAGGATGGACTCCGTTGGATCAGTGGTACGACATACCAGGCGTAGAGTTGCCTCAGCTACTACAAGACTGGTATGAACAGGACAGACAATGGGTTCGGAGAGTGTTCCGGGATGAACCTCTCCCTGATACAAACCTTGAAGTCTTCGGGTCAGCAGAAGCTGCTGCCGTAGTAGCAGAGCGGACTACTGAATGGACCCCGGGATCGAATGAGGCCACCCACGATGGTCGTTGGGTAGTGCCAGGATACGCGGTCAAGCAAGTCATTGAGGATCATCATGACAGACCCGTAGCGGGGCATCTAGGAAGGGATAAAACCCTCGAGTTGATCGATAGGAACTACTGGTGGCCAGGAATGTCCACGGATGTAGCCAACTTCGTCAAGACTTGCGATGTATGCCAGAGAGCCAAACAACGTCGGAGATACTTGTCACTCCCTCAACCCCTAGAGTTAGCCACCACCCCTTGGACTGATATCTCAATGGATTTTGTGGTAGAAATGCCAAAGGAGAAATCAGGATTCCGTAACGTATTGGTAGTCGTGGACCGTTTTACGGAAATGGCTCACTTCATTCCAATGACGGGAATCAATGCGGAACAGACCGCTAACGCATTTGTCAAAGACATCTGGCGTTTTCACGGACTTCCCAGGAGCATTGTCTCTGACAGAGGAACACAGTTCGTATCGGCATTCTGGACGGCGGTTACAGAACGACTTGGGATTCGTAGAAGACTCTCAACCTCGTTCCACCCGCAGACAGATGGCCAAACGGAAAAAACCAACCAGCACCTCGAATTCTACCTTCGAGCCTACACCGCAGGTACAGGGAAGAAATGGAAGGACCTGCTACCAATCTGCGAGTATGCCTATAACAATGCGAAACACTCATCTACAGGACAATCGCCGTTCTATAGTAACTACGGTTTCCACCCACGAACGGATTGGCCAACAGATGTGGATATCGATCGGCTGGACGTCAATGGGAACAACTACTTGGACAACCTCCTTCAAGCTCACGAGTCAGCGAGAGATACGCTGCAGAAGACCTTTGACAGAATGGCGTCAAGACCAGGGCCAGCAGTTCAGCGGTTCGCAATCGGTCAAAAGGTCTTGCTGGATACTCGGAACCTCGGGGGATACGACAACTGGTCGGATAAGTTCACTGGACCCTTTGAAGTCGCCGCAGCTATAGGAAATAGGGCTTATCGGTTGAATCTTCCGGTAGAATGGAAGGTTCACGATGTATTCTACGAAATGCTGCTACGACCTTATCGAGAGGACCCTAATCCAGGTAGACAACAGAATACCCGGAAACGACTCGCAACACCCGATCCTCAAGAAGCGCTCTTAGATGAGAACTTCAAACCAAGTACGAATACTCGACCCCATAGGCGGAGTCAAGGGCCAGTCACCGATTCGAGACGGCCTCCAAAGCGACAACGGACTGGGAAAGACTAGCTCGATACCTTTCCTACTCTATGACTTTTCCCACAGGGTTTTTATCATAGAGAGGTTTTTACGGTCGAGGGCGACGTCTAGGAAGGGGGAGTAGTGTTACAGGAAATACGAGTACTGTTCTAAGTCGAGGAAATAGGAAGAATACGAGTAATGGGTTGTGATGCGGGTACGGCCGGGTAGCGGAAGAACAAGCATAGAAAGGAACCGAGGGGTGTGGGAGCACCGGGTGCAACCACACGGGTATTAGGCTATTGTGAGGACACGCTTACTATTGGGTGTCTCACCCGAAACGGAATAGAAGCGGGGTTTATGGCTGCAGGCCATTCTACTTAAGGAAGTAGCTCTAGGACAATAGTATGATACAGCTCGGTTACTGGCAATTGCGGGGTTCATGGTTACGTGTCGAAATTAGAATGGAGGAACGGAACTATGCGGGGGCGCTTTTCTATCGGGGTTATCTTCGGGTTGATTGTCTTATTCTATTATCGTGGTATTAGTAGTATTAGAAAGCGGGCCTTGGCATAGGTTCCAATATGGATAAATAGGGAAGGATTCTGCCTCGTCTTAGTGGCATCATCAGTCACTCAGCGAGCGGAATCCGGTTTACAATATTACAAGTTTAAAAGCTATAGAATTATCGCTTAGCATTGGCATTTCCCCAAACACGCGGGTGCGGGCGCGGGTGCGGGGGCGGGTGTAGACATATGTACATAGCATTATATTACTATTATTACTCCGCATGGTTCTTATTCAGTGCTGTCATTGGTGATAGCGGGTGAGAATCCTAGGAGGGTAGCGATTGACATTGAAAGATTCTTAGGAGGACAACGATGGACATTGGGAGGACAACGATGGACATTGGGAGGCCTCTGAGAGGGCAGCGAAGAGTGCTTAAAGGATAGTGAGAGGTATTGTTAGGGCTCTGATAGGCAATAAGAGAATTCTATGAGGGTAGCGATGGACATTCGGAGATTCATGGGAGGATAGCGATGGACATTGGGTGTTCCAGGGTGTAACGGAGCCATTTCAACTGTCTGGTGTATGAGTACACACAGGGCCCGGTTACATGCTGAGAGTTATTGTTAGAAGGCAGTTGCACGGTGATATGCAAGTACCGGCAGTGTGGTTAGCTACCAGCTGTTAGAGTAACTACATTCCGGGCGCTAGGAAGGGGATCTATTCACGGGAGCAATGACTGACGAGTCTATGCCTCGCCAGTGACTAGAAGACCGGCCAGAGTGAAGCTCTGATAGCCCGGTGATCCTCTGTATCCTCTAAGCATTATGAGCCCGCCGAAAGGCAGGGACTTGGCTAGGGAAATCTACAATAAGCGAAGGCTCTACAGCAATAATTAAGCTTACACCTGAGCAGCAGCTCATTCATGCAGGTCCTCGGTTGTGTGGCAACCAAGGCTGCAGGTGTTACAAAGGCTTTGACTAAGGGTGGTTGCCTTGGGTATCGGAAACACCTGCTGACGCTTAGAGAAAAGTGGGGTAGTGGTGGTATTGTTTCCGGCACCGAGGAAAGGGCCCACCGAATCTTAGTAAGGAGTTAGGAGCAGAGAATAGAGGCCTTCGGAGTATAAGTACTCAGGTTCATTCTCGCCCTTCAGTCCAATTCTCTCCAGTCTTCATCAGAAAGAAAACCAAGTTCTTATCGGTAGCAGAGTCCTTAAAGATTATTGAGTTCTAGCGATAGTATCTTTGAATAATCTGCAACCTGATTGTCTATCTTGCACGGCCGTCTCTAATCTATCCAATTCTATTTCTCTTAGAAAGGACCCCCGTTACACAGGGTGCGTAGATGCTGGGGCTGGAAGCGGATGCTGGGGCTGGAAGCGGGTGTTGGTAGCGGATGCTGGTGCTGGGAGCGGGCGCTGGGGTGACGCGGATGCTGGGGCTGGGAGCGGGTGCGGGCGCGGGCGTTGGGGTGACGCGGATGCTGGGGCTGGGAGCGGGTGCGGGCGCGGGCGTTGGGGTGACGTGGATGCAGGAGCTGGAAGCGGGTGCTGGTAGCGGATGTTGGGGCTGGGAGCGGGTGCAGGCGCGGGCGCTGGGGTGACGCGGATGCTGGTGCTGGAAGCGGGTACTTGAAGCGGATGCTGGTAGCGGATGCTGGTGCTGAGAGCAGGTGCTGGTGCTGGTAGCGGGTGCGGGCACTGGGGTGACGCGGATGCTGGGGCTGGAAGCGGGTGCGGGCGCTGGGGTGACGCGGATGCTGGTGTTGGAATCGGATGCTGAAAGCGGATGCTGGGGCTGGGAGCGGGTGCGGGCCCGGGCGCTGGGGTGACGCGGATGCTGGGGCTGGAAGCGGGTGCTGGTAGCGGATGCTGGGGCTGGGAGCGGGTGCGGGCGCGGGCGCTGGGGTGATGCGGATGCTGGGGCTGGAACCGGGTGCTGGTAGCGGATGCTGGTGCTGGGAGCAGGTGCTGGTGCTGGGAGCGGGTGCGGGCACTGGGGTGACGCGGATGCTGGGGCTGGAAGCGGGTGCTGGTAGCGGATGCTGGTGCTAGGAGCGGGTGCTGTTGCTGAGAGCAAGTGCTGGTTCAGGTAGGGTAAGGCTGCTAATATTCGGGCTCGTCGCTGTCGTTGCGTTTCCCCTCTTCCCCTCTTCCCCTTTTCCCTTGCACAACAACACTTCATAACATCATTCGCTTGCGAGTTCAAACACACAACACATGAGAGAGAGTTCAAATAAGATAGAAAGTCAAATATTTAGGTGCTTTGCCCTTGATATCCTTCTATACTTAGGAGTACAATCACTTGTTGTTGTTGTTGTTGTTGTTGTTGTTGTTGTTGATATCCTGACTCACCTACAGCTTCTACAAACCCGATCCACAAAAATGCCTCCTATCCGATCCAAAAGAATACCACCCCCCAAAGCGTACAAAAAGGCCATCAATGAAATTGCTATATATATAGCTAGCAAACCCTCTCTTCTGCAGAAAATCAGAGATAATAAAATTGATTCTCTTGTTTCTTCTATTAAGAGAGAGTTCTGTAATGTTGCCGATGGAGTTAACGATGGCATTTTCAATGATCTTGCTGCCTTCCTCAACCACCCCAAACAAATGAAGGAGCCGAATAGCTATGCAGAATTAAGAGAATCGATGAAGCAGAGGAAGGAGGAGAAGGAAAGAATTAAAAGAATTAAAGCTTTATTTGTGGAGGAGTGTAACCTCAAGGAGGACGATGCAAGGAGAGACAAATATTTGGAACAGTTTACGATTGTGGAGGTAACCCGATATCAAACACCTTACCGTCCACCCAGTAATTGGGTGTATGAGTCCGAGCAAATTCATGACATTTGGCAAGACCACCTACAGCTTGGTAAACCAAAGAACAAAAGACTAAAAGTACCACCCATGCTACTTTTGGAACCACAATATCTCCAGCTAGATGTTGACGAGGACCAAAACTGCATTTTTATCGATTCCAAAACCAAAGAGATTGTTGGGTTGGTTGCTAGGAATTGGATGGCCGAGGACAGAAAAGAAACTCTAGATTGGGTAAATGAGATTATTATCAAGGAATGTCAGATCAGGAAATCAATCCGGGTAAGTATTATTTCTCTTCAAATTTTATTCTTGCGAGTACTAATTATTTCTTAGCTTGAAGATACTGGCAAACTTTGTCAAATGGGGTACTCAGCTGGTTCCAGAAGCAAAGCCAGTTTCGATTGGGTTAGAAATATCACCTCCAAGAAAAACCGAATGGAAGACTTTGAGCACTTGGGCAGCTATATTTTTGCTCTTCTTTGGAACATGAGTAAGGGTAGATTGCCGAAGCCGATTATTGAGGATATAACTGGGTTTTGTAATTCTACCTTAATTCCGAGAATGAATTATGCTGCTAAAGACAGAGCTACTTCTCAAATCTGCGGGAACTATACTGTGAGGGTGCAGGACGATGACATTGAGTTTGACTGTGTTCTGATGGCACCTCCTTCTGGATTTATGGCATATAATTATGCAAGGTAATATTCACTCCGAGTACTTATTTATCATTATTACTAATTAATAATAGGGGTACTCATAATGAAAAGTGCCCTCATAAGTATGCATTGTTCTGGACTACAGCTAGGACATATGGGTCCGAGGAGGGGGGACACTTCTTCATTGCCGATTATGGAATCAGAATCAAACAATCAGCCAACTCAGTAGTAGTTTGGAAGCCGACTGACTTTCATGGGACTACTTTATCAGTAAAGGGTCCCACCAATGAGTCTGATTCCCATCAAATTGGTATGAGTATTGTCACTCCTGTCCAATTGATAAAGTTGTGGGAAAAATATCAACAGGATCAAATTACTGCCGATAATATTGAAGCTATTTTGGTTGAGTCCGATGAATCCGAGGAGGAATAAATTGTTATTTCCTATATTATGTAGTATTATTATTGATGTTACTAAAAATCTCCACTCCTGTATTAAGTACCGATAGTTATTTCAGCTGCCAGTTAGCAATAATAACTATCAATTATTGTGTACCGATTGTTTTAAAAAATAGCTTTAAAAATAAAAAAAAATAAGAAAAAAATTTTTATAACAAAAGGCTTCTATATACAATATTTTTAACTTTGTTTTTATCCCCAATATCACTAATTGAAATATCATGATCCAATAAACACCTAATATTGTCTCTATTTCTGACTCGGGAAATACTTGTATACAGTTGACCATGTGCAAATACAGGAGTTCTGAGATCGATGACAGCTCTATCGAGTGTTAAGCCTTGATAACTATTGAAGGTTGTCGAGTATGCTAGCCGTAAAGGGAATTGTCTTCTCTGTACTGTCCAAGAGCAATATTTTGGTTGAAACTCAAATACGATTCGGGGGAGACAGAAAACAGTTGTATCTCGTCGAATATTTTCTGCAGTAGATATCAATTCAACTTTGACAAATCTTTCATGTAGCTCTTTAATAACTACTCGGGAATTCTTAACCAAGCCATTCTCCAGTGATAGATTTCGCATAATCGAACAAACACACCCGACCTTCAAAATCAATTTGTGTGTAGGCACACCAGGCTCCTTCAACATAGATAGAAAATCTAGAATCTCCCCTGATGGTAGAATGTTGATAGCCGAGGATGTGAAGTTAGGGTCCTCTTTGATACAATCATGGCTGTAGTATATTCTTTCTGTAATAAATAATTATATCAGTATATTATAATTTTTAATTGGAAGGAAAATAAATATACATACCCTCCATTGTCGGGAATCTTTCAAGAATCGCAAGGTTAAATTGATCTACATTGATATTCAAAGGACTAAGGAAAGCATGATGGGAAACAATCGCTGGATTTTGCAATACTTCTGTGGGAAATAGAAAGTCAATTGCCTCTTCGATTGAGTCTAAAGACTCAATTAAATCCAGATTGACAAACGATTCATTTGATTCTTGACAGCCATCTCCAATTTGATCTACCCACTCGGCATATTCCAAATCAGAGGCATTTCTTATAGCTGTATCCAATCGTAAAATTTTGAATTGTTCCCAAAGATAGGATGATCGTATAGATGCTTCGAGTGTAGCTGTTGGTCCTGCAGATTTAACCACTGGTGCTACCTGTCGAAAGTCCCCTAAGCCAAGAAATACTTTGCCACCAAATGGTTTGCCATTTGCAAGCACGAGTTGCAAGAACTCATCTGCACATTCAATTGCTGCTTTGTTGGCCATAGGCATCTCCTCCCATATAATTAAGCTTGACTTCGATAGTAATTTGGCCCGATCTGATCTGATACTCAAAGTCGATTGTAGCTCCATATTATTCTAATATCGTAATGTCAGTAGCTGTCTTTACTAAAACCCCCTCATAGGATAGCTTTACTTCAACGACAGGAATACCAAATGCAGAATATGCAGTATGACCTCTCTCATATAGTGTAACACTCAAAGCTGTCAAACCAGTAATAACAACAATGTCTCCTTGCCCTCTTAGATAATTTACGATCGTATTTACAACATATGTTTTGCCCCGACCAGCTTTTCCATCCAGAAAGAAACATGTATGTTCAGGAATCTCTCCGATAGCTATTTTATCGATATTATTCATGATAGTATCAAAAGCATCTAGCTGTTGGGGTAATAACTGTTCCTGAGATGCTATTGCCATCTCAGTAAGTTTGGTTCTACGATGATCAAATGCAAGAGCCTCCATAGATATTTCATCTATGGGGTTTTGAGGTTGAGGTAATCCAAAATCAGTCAACCTACTGCCTTGAGCAGCAAGGTGTTTTGCAATCCCCTCCAAACATTTATTCATAACCATTATCGGAGAATCGTATTGGTCAAGATAATCTGCCGAAAGAGCCTCCTGATATTCCTCGAACAACTCAATAGCTGTAACTGGAATATTCATCAGGAGATGTGCAAACAGGAATCGTAGCTGATTAGGACTGCAAAAGCTTTGGACTGCTTCTGCCATAATTTCTTTACCTTCCGACTGGTTTTCGAAGAGACCTAATGCTGCTGCTGCCTCTTGAAATGTTGAGTATGTAATTCGATTGACAGTTTTTAGGTCCCCGAAACTATAAGCTGATCGATGCAGTAGGAGAGCTCATAGGTAGAATAATTCTCCAGTTCTAGGGGAGACTGTATCGATCCGGGCTATTGCTTCATTTCTTCTCCTAGCTCTTACAATAAACTGTGGATAACTATTGCATATCTCTTCAAGGAAATCGTTATCTTTGAAAATGGTTGACGACTTCGAGTAGGGAATCCACTTCTCGTAGTATTGAACATATGTCAAATCTTGGAATACTGTATTTCGGGGCCTAGAGAAATATCTAAGCAAAGTCGATGCTGTAGATTCCCCACCATCCTTTCGGTACATTTGATGCATGTTTCTTCCAGGTAGATGAACTGTAAGCGATTTGACTGCAGGCGATCGTTCTGTTATATGGTATTGCAGGATCCTCCATGCTGCCTCCGAGGCACACAGATACCTCGCATTGATATAGTCATTGATCTCGTCAACCTCATGCTGTCCTTCAACATTGAAAGAAAATAATGTTCGATCGGGTCCTTTAAACAAATACTTATACAGATACATGAAAATATTAACTGTAAAACATATATCGACATTAACATGACATTCTAGTAGCTTAGTAAGAAATGGCATATATGATGCTATCCATCGATCTTCTTCCTTTCTTCTTCTATACTGTACTTGACCATATTGATTAAGCTCTGTAGTTTCCTGAATCGCTTGTGGGTATCCCCAAATACAGGATCCATTTTTGTTACACCGACTGTTGAGAGAATTTAAATGTGTTTGGGGGTGTTGATTGAATCGTAGAACCAATTCTCGCAGGACAGGATCTTCCTCTTCTGTAGGTACTTCGGCAGAGACGATGGAATCAATACCTGAGAAAGGTAACTCGGGATTCACCTAATAATTTTTAGCATCAACCTCAATTGGGTTTTCGATTATCTTACTTTAATAACAATATGTGCATGTGGTAACCCCCTCTTTTGGAATTCTATAACCCGAACAATGTAAACCATCGTTCCTAAATGGCTCCGAATTTTGGCAATAGCATTCTCTAGCTTTGCTTTAAATACCCGACAAACAATAATTGGTATATCTGAAGCATTCTGTCCTGGATTCAACGGTACTTTAATTTCTGGCCAGTTAGGATTTGTTGTAATCGTGATAAAAAATGAGGGTTTGCCTCTTGACCGACAGATAGCAAGAGAGTCGGCAACCTCATTTGATGCCCATGCTCGGGAACCTAGGAAAGAGTTGGGTAGTGTCGTGCCTTTCTCGATAGGTAAATCTCCTTCTGCCTCTGCATTTGCAAATTGCTGAATGTATTGTCTCTCTCGCCCTTTTCATATATAGTCCAATCTTTCATCTTCCACTCTCGAGTGCATATCCACCAAGTATTCTCCACACAATCTACCAAACCTCATAAATCGGTTCTCTGTTGTGAGTCTGGCTCTATACCATCGAATTTGACTGATATCGGATTTGCAGTCCCAACCAGGTGTACCATGAGGAAAGAAAACAGGATATTGTAATGGCTCGTAAAGGGGACTTAATATACTGATAGCTTTTGGACGATCGAGGATATTGTTGTAAACCAATACACTCCGAGGATAGACTTTCTGTATATTATTGGCATGTATAATCGCACCAATTTCCCCACCACTTGTTGGTGTATATAACTCTAGTGCAAGTGGGGTATCTGTTGCAGTGGTAAATGCTGCTCGGAGATGGTAAACAAAAGGATTGATGTCTTCTAGTAGGTTTCGAAAGCTGTTAACTAGGGAGGAGGGTACACCAAGCTCAAAAGCTAGTGAGTCTCTTGAATCCTCATCGTGAAGGAACCATCGAATTGAATGTTGACCTCGATTGGAATCCAATAACTGATGGTATACTCGTCCTGTTATAGCAACATTTGAAGGTGTCGGTAACTGTCGAAATCCACCTGTAACTCCCAAAATTGAAAATGAAAAAATGTTATTGAGCTTGCGGCTGATCCTACTCAACTGAGAGTCATATTGCTCAAATTCAGTTTCAGTATCGGGTGGATATACTGGTAGGGGGGGTAATCGATATTTTCCATTAGTGCAACACCAACCATTATTTTCACTAGTTAATAAGGCTGCACAACAATAAGTGCATTGTTTTGACCAACTAATAATATATGGGCGGAGATGGGTTGTTTTTGTAGGTAAAATATCCCACCAATTGTTAGATATTGAATTTGTTTCTATATTGCTTTGGTTTTGTGTAGTTTGTCGGCGATTTGTGATTTCATGTTCAGCTCGGGAATTTAATCGCATCTCAATTCAGTCTAATTGTGAGCTGGAGGCTTGGGAGTTTCTATTTCTTCTTGCTCGGATCCGACTCGAAATCCTGAAATCGTCGGTTGATTGTCTGGAATTGGTTCTTGGCATTTTTGCAATAAAAATTGTATTTAATATAGAAATCTGTTCGATAAATTTCTAAAGAGAATACCCGATAGTTATATATATCCTTGGTAATAATACACTCTCCCGACTAAAATAAAATAGCTAACAATGACTCAGAAACCTATATATCTAATACTAAACTTATTCTACTCAGAACCAACATCCCCAATAATGTCATCCCCAATCTCTTCAAACTCGTCATCGACAGAACAGTCATTAGATACACTCAAAGCTTTCTTTTTGGCTGGTGTAGTAGGTTTGGAAATAGAAGATAAGCTAACAGTAATTTTTGGAGGGGGGGGAGAACTTGAATACAAACTTGAATCATCCATCGCAGATCTTTTCTGATCCCGAGCACCCCAAGATCTTCCAACATTTTTAGACTCCGATCTACTTGAGGTTTCTCCAACAGACCCACCCCCCAATCCCGATTGCATTACTGAAATATAATTTAATGACGACACTATACAACCAAGAAAAGAATGTGACGATGCATTATCAACGATGACTCTACCAACTAATTTCCCAGTGATTTGGATTACACTATCGATTTGGGGTAATTTTGTGCTCTCCCACCTCTTTCCTGCTGGTATGTACCACCTAATAACAAAATACTTTCGGGAAGCTGATTTGGAGGCAGCCTCTAAATCGTAATAGGAGGATCGTAAATCAAAGGATCTCCAACCAATAGGGAGAGACTTGATAGTACCCTTAGGTTGTCCTACAACCTTTCCGACTGAGTATATAGTGGCACAGGAGGGTGCAGGGGCTATATCATCAAATCGTGGATGTGTCGGGTCACCAGCAAATCTAAGTGGAAAATTATTAGTTCTAATATATTAGACAGTACATCAATTACTTACTCGCTCTTATTCAGTAAAGAAATAACAACTGGTTTGTCTTTACCCATATCGCAGAATCTGCCTGAACATATTCCAAAAGAGTTTTCGGTGGATTCTGTAAGAGAATCGCTGACAAAACAAATAATTCGGCATGGTATATCTTCCTCGTCGATTACTGAATTTGGTAGATCTTCGCTCCAGCAAAATAAAGTAGAATCGTAAATTTTGAGATAGCCAGTTTTGTCTGACTTGTTAGTGAATTCAAGCATGCAGTGAATTTCGGTAGAGGCATTCTCGTTGAATATTTGAGGCATCGTATCATAAAATATTGTAGGCAGAGAGTTTTGGAATTGATTGATTAAGCTAAAAAATAATGTGCGATCAAGAGTAACTTTAAACTAAAACTCTAACAATCAAACCTTTGACTAACCCTAATATCAATACCAACATTTAATAATATTTTGATTTGTTATCAATACCAATTCACGCACAAAGTAAATTTGCAGGAATCATTAAAAGAAAAAAGCAAAGTTCCCGATTTCAATAGAAAGAATAAGCAAAATACCCGAATCGCCACTAACATCATTAGCGGGAAGAAGCAATCGCCACTAACATCAATAGGGGGAAGAAGCAATATCTCCAAATTCAATAGAAGGAAAAAGTAAGGTCCTTGAATCGCCACTAACAATAATAGAGGGAAAAGAAAGATTCCCGAATCGCCACTAACATCAATAAGGGGAAGAAGCAATGTCTCCGAATTCAATAGAAGGAAAAAGTAAGGTCCTTGAATCGCCACTAACAATAATGGAGGGAAAAGCAAGATTCCCGAATCGCCACTAACATCAATAGGGGGAAGAAGCAATGTCTCCGATTTCAATAGAAGGAAAAAGTAAGGTCCTTGAATCGGCACTAACAATAATAGAGGGAAAAGCAAGATTCCCGAATCGCCACTAACATCAATAAGGGGAAGAAGCAATGTCTCCGAATTCAATAGAAGGAAAAAGTAAGGTCCTTGAATCGCCACTAACATCAATAGGGGGAAGAAGCAATGTCTCCGAATTCAATAGAAGGAAAAAGTAAGGTCCCCGAATCGCAAATTACATCAATACAGAAAAAAAAAATCTGGTCCCCGATTTGTTGCTTATATCAACAAAAAATATTATCAAAATATTACTAATCAAAATATTACTAATCAAAATATTACTAATCAAAATATTACTAATCAAACTACCAAGAAAAAGCAATCTAATACCTGGCCAATCAAAACCTTTAAATAACACATTGCATATCGGTATATCTATATACTTATTAGCTAACCGTAAATCATGAACCCTGACCAATAGGACCGAAAACAGTCAGATTGGCTATAAAATAATGCCCCCAATCAAACCCTCAGAACCAAAAATAGTGAAATTAGCTATTCAATAATGCCCCTAATCAACCCCATAGGACTAAAAACAGTGTGATTAGGTATTCAATAATGCCCCTAGTCAACCCCGCCCATGATGTTGGTTCAGACTTCATTATCTTTGCGAGCCCCGCTGTTTCCCTCGCTGGCCTGGATGATAACCGGTGATATATCACTTATACTTCACCTTCATAATAGGAGTAGCGTACCTACATTAGGCCTTCTGCTGCTCACCTCGTACATCCCCTTCTGTTGAGCTATTCGCTTCCGTTTCAGTTTCCTTCAGGTATAATCGAAATATTCTGCCTCTGTCAACCTTGAGCTGAATAACCTACATGCGTCCGTATCTCAACCAAACACCGCCGTAACGACCCTCGAAAATGAAGACATATCGTATATTCAATATTCCCAGGCAGTTAGAGGAGAATGACCTTAAAGACCTCCTTGGAGAACATACGATCGTCGATGTATTGGCGCCAGCTGCAAATATTACGGGCGCGGAAACAAAGAAGGTAGCGTTGGTATCGTTTGGGCATTCTCATGATCCTCTGTTGGACAAAAGGTTGATCGCACTTCCAAACGCACTTTTGACCAAGATTGGGTTAGACAGGTGGGATCTTGGGATAGATACTGACTTTCTGGTGTAAAAATATGGCATTGCGACATCGGTTATGTATGGTAATTACTCATGTATAAGGGATGACTCATAGTTGGAATAAGGAGGCTTAGCGCTAGGATTATGTAATCAGGGGATCACGTGGTACTAAGAACTATCTGTATATAAGGAGTAACAAACTCCCAACAACTGTCGCTGGAACTCAGCGGCGCAATAGTATCTTCTTTGCACTATAAACATATTCCTCACAAAGGTCACGTGTTCAAACCCTCCTCAAGTCGTCTATTCTCCCACACTCCAATTCACAGGTTATGAGCCCGGGTTCTGCCAAATAAGAATCCGCACTACACCATCGCCACCTCGCTTAACTCAACAACACTTCATACAACATCATGTCTACACATGGAGAATCGTCATCCAAGGCTGATGAGACTAAACCCTCAGAAACCACAGCCACCAGTAACATTCGTCTCAAGTTTGATGGACTTCCTAAACTACAAGGGCAATCCAACTACCAAACTTGGGCGAGTGCCTGGAGGATAACGTTCGATGCTGTAGACTGGTGGGAAGCGTTGAGCATCGAGAACCCTGACGAGAATGACACCGAACTCAGCAAAACCGAGATAAAGAAAGCTCGTAAACAAATGCACAGCCTTCTCATCTCTGCTGTATGTGAAGAAATACAACCAACAGTCGTCTCCGCCGAAAATGCATTCTACGCATGGAAGGCGCTCAAAGACCTCTACGATCGTGTCTCACCCAACACCACGATCACCCTCCTCAGCCGCGTCCTAGACACGAAGATGCAAGAAGGCGGATCACTGACCGAGCATCTCGCAAACTTCGATGCGAACTGGAATACTCTCAAGTCCAGATGCCAAAGCGCAGACCACAAACTCGCTCAGGCCCTCCTACCCCTCACCAAATCTAACGAAGCCATGGCGGCATTCCTCCTAAGCTCGCTACCCAAATCGATGAGCAACGTTGTCGACAACATCCAGACCAAACAGGATGTTACCTACGAAGACGTTCGCCAACGACTACAGAACCTGGATGAGGTAGCCCCTCAAACAGGAAACAAAGTGCTCCATACCAGGAGTACTACAAGCGACAAGGAATGCACCTGGTGCAAGAAAAGGGGTCAGCCTTACAAAGGCCACGAGTACACGGAGTGCAGAAAGCTCAAGGAACAGAACAAGAACAGGAAGGGAAGAAGAAAGGACAACTCGGCATCGGTTGTAGTAAATGACACTACAACCACTATCTGTATGGTACGCCACGACAACTCCCAACCCCTTACTTGGATCCTTGATTCTGGAGCAACCTCTCACGTCACACCCTTCCAAGACCAACTCATCAACATCCAACCTCACACCGGCAATGTCCGAACAGCTGATCGAACCAACCACGCTGTCACCGGAATGGGAAGCGCTAGTTTCAGCTGCCACCTTCCCGATGGAAGCAGATCTTCCATACTCCTCACCGATGTGCTGTTGGTCCCAACCTTGGGAAATGTGGGATTGGTCTCCGAAACCGTGCTCGACAAAAAGGGATTTAGAACGGAGTCAGGAGGAGGAAGCAAGTTGGTTACAAAAGAAAAGAAAGGAATAATTTGGGCAAAATTGGAGAAGGGACTTTGGAATGTACAAGTAGTTAGCAATACAGTTCGTTTGACCACTTATGATGAATGGCATCAAGCGTTAGGCCACCCTGCGACACTAGAAAACTTGTATCACGACATTCAAAGGCTGCCTCCCAAACCAGAAATTTTCCACTGCAGTCAATGTGCACTATCAAAGAGCGTACATAAGAACCCTGCACCAATTAGTACTAGATCCAAACGACCATTCGAACTGATCCACTCAGATCTATCTGGAAAGTTCAGCATACAGTCACAAGGAAAAGCTCAGTACTATATGTCCTTCATCGATGATTTCACCCGCTTCGCTTGGATATATCTCCTGAAACAGAAAGAAGACGCAAAGAAGGCCATCAAGGACTACGTTACCAGAATCGAGAAACAGTATAGTACAACAATACTGAGATTCAGAACGGATGGTGGTGGTGAATACATCAACAAGGACATAACGAACTACTTCGACACACAAGGAATAGTTCATGAACAGACTCCCCCATACACTCCTGAGTCTAATGGAGTTGCAGAACGATTCAACAGGACGGTAACCACAATGGTCAGGTGCATGATCATGGACCATCCTAAGTCGTTATGGGGAGAAGCATACACAACAGCTGTCTACCTTAAAAACAGGCTACCACACAGTACGCTTAAGGGAAAGACCCCCTTTGAAGCCCTGAAAGGAACCAAGCCAAGTATACAACACCTTCAACCATTCGGTAAAAAATGCTATGTCCACATCCCAGAAAACTCTAGGCCAGCAGGAAGCAAACTAGCACCCCGAGCGTATGAAGGAATTATAGTTGGATACTCAGACAGTAGTAAAATATACCGTATCTGGATAGGAACACAACATAGGGTAATTGAAAGTCGGGACGTCACATTCCCCCCTCCTGAATCAGGGGAAGTCTCAGTAAAACTCGACTTCATCCCCAGCCTGAAACCAGAAACGGCAAATGCACCATCAGACGACGGATACGAATCAGAAGACAGGTCTGATCCAGAACCCGAGTCAAATGCAATTGAAGAGAACCGTACAGAAATGCCAGGATTGTTCCCGGAATCACCGGAACAGGTTAGACAACCACCACCGGCTAAACCACACAAGGGAAAAGAACCTGCCATACCTATGGGACAACCGCGAGACCCAAGAGATAACTGGGAGACAATTCCAGCACCAGTTATACCATTCAAAGGTTTCAAAGGAAAACCACTTGCGTCAACGACACCCAAAGGTACACCACCACAACCTCCAAGACGATCGAATCGCGTCCGTAAGAAAATAGATTATGAACTTGATAAGGAAATAAGAAGGAAGGAATACAACAACAAGGTAATACAGCTACAGGAGCAACAAAAGGGGTACATTGAATCAGTAAGAGAGGACGGTCCAATGGATGAAGGCGAATGTCAAGCAATGATTGAAGAATTCAAAGCCGACATTATAAAAGCCAGAAAGGATCTGGACCTAGAATACCAAGATGTATCCAATGAACCTGCGATCTACCGTGTACACCTTGTAACCGAACCTTCAACCTATCATCAAGCCATGAACAGCGACGATCAACACCTATGGAAAAAGGCGATACAGACTGAGAAAGACGCGCTTCACAAAGCCCATACCTGGGACATTGTCAACCGACCATCCAACCGAGCAGTAGTCCAAGGGAAATGGGTATTCAAAGTGAAACACAATGCGGACGGAACAATCGAGCGGTACAAAGCAAGGTACGTTGCTAAAGGCTTCACCCAAGTACAGTACCAAGACTACCATGAGACCTTCGCCCCCGTTGCACGATATGATTCTCTACGACTCCTACTGGCACTAGCTGCACACAACGGTTGGATACCACAACAAATGGACGTCAAGTCAGCCTTCCTGTATGGTGTACTCAAGGAGGAAATCTACATGGAACTGCCTGAAGGCTACAGGCAGGACAACAAGGTTTGTAAACTTCGAAAATGCATATAAGGACTAAAGCAATCACCCCGTGAATGGTATGCTTGCCTAGCAGACTCCCTTCAACGGAAAGGATTCGTCCCAGCCAAATTCAACCCATGCATCTTCATACATAAGGATCACCATCTATATATATCGGTGTATTTAGACGATATCATGATATTCGGACCCGACTCCCCATTCAGAAAAGAAATCAGACAACTACTCAAGGCAGATTTCGAATGTACGGATCTCGGTAACTCGAAGTTCATACTGGGAATAGAAATAACGGTAACCAACAACGGTATCACGCTATCGCAACGCGCATACATCAACAAGATCCTGGATAAATTTGGAATGAGTAACTGTAAACCAGTTGGCACACCTCTCGAACCGAACCTCAACCTTCACAAAGGCGAACCGGAAGACCAAATCGAGAAACCAACTGAGTACCAATCCATAATAGGATCACTGATGTACGCGAGTATAGCTACCAGACCTGATATCACCCATGCCGTTACCGCTCTCTCTCAGTACTCCTCATGCCCAACCGAGGACCACCTATGAGCAGCCAAGCGAACTCTCCGATATCTCAACGGAACCAAAGATTGGAACCTGTTCTACCCGAAGGGGAATACTAGAACACTCGACGGATTCTCAGACAGTTCCTACGCTTCAGACCTAGATGACAGAAAATCGTTCTCAGGATACGTGTTCAGACTAGGGAAGTCAGCCATTAGCTGGAGAAGCCGGAAGCAGAAATCAGTCGCAGTCTCAACAACAGAAGCCGAATACATGGCCCTGTCCCTCGCAGCTCGACAACTGGTATAGATTCGTAATGCCTTGCACGAACTCCAACAACAATACCAGTACTTCATACACGCCGACAATACAGGTTCTATTGAACTCTGTCGGAACCCACTATAACGTGGGTCTATGAACGATGAACTATAGTGCCAAGGAATACAACCGAGACGAAGACGTAGTAGAAGATGTTCGTGACTATGGACTATGGGACGGCTCTGTTTGGGTCTGATAACAAAACTGAATCCCATGACGTAGCGTAGAACAAGAATAATATTCGTGGAGTAGAATACAGAGGTTGCGTAAAGAAAGAAGGAAAGAGAGAAAACAAATAAAGACACAAGACAACGCCTCCTTATATATCCAATCATAGTCCAACGATGACTAATACCTTCGCATAACAGAAACTAAAGGAACATAACAGAAATCCCAATTACAAATCCTAATCACACTGCGCAATACCTCCCCTTCCCGTTCCAATTCGTCACCTAACCGAAATCCATAGTTGCCGTTACACCCACTCATCCACGACCGGTCCAAGCACATCGACGTTCACTATCACTACACACGTGAACAACTCGAAGCCGGAACCTTCGAAATCCTCTACGTCCCTACCGAAGACAATGTCGCGGACATAATGACCAAAGGACTACCAAAACCAGCTCACCAAAAATTGTCAGAATTGATACGATGTGGCAAGTGAGGGGAAGTGTAAAAATATGGCATTGCGACATCGGTTATGTATGGTAATTACTCATGTATAAGGGATGACTCATAGTTGGAATAAGGAGGCTTAGCGCTAGGATTATGTAATCAGGGGATCACGTGGTACTAAGAACTATCTGTATATAAGGAGTAACAAACTCCCAACAACTGTCGCTGGAACTCAGCGGCGCAATAGTATCTTCTTTGCACTATAAACATATTCCTCACAAAGGTCACGTGTTCAAACCCTCCTCAAGTCGTCTATTCTCCCACACTCCAATTCACATCTGGGACTCACCCCCTTGAACGTTCCCGGAGAGACCGTATCAATGGAGTAGGTAGTTCTCATCTGAATGTGCAAATGTTTTGATCCGTAGTTTCTAATAGATGATGCAGTGTTGTAGCTGTTACTGGACTAGGCGGACATGCCTTTGGTTCGTGGAAGGCCAAGGAGAGTGATTTCATGTGGCTGAGAGACGCTCTGCCGAAGGACGTTAGCGGTCTTAGGGTTCTGACATATGGTTTTGAATCCGGTCTTGTGGGAAGCACATCTTTTGCCAGCATAGGAAGCTATGCAAAGGAGCTTCTTCGGGACTTGATAGGTGCTCGATCCCATGTTGATGTAAGTATAGTTGCTTCGTCTTTCTCTCTTCGCCCAGTGATATCCAGGTCTCAAAGCCCCTACGGATTGCTGATTTGTGACATTTATTACGTAGGTGACGCAGCGCCCACTCGTCTTTATTTGTCACAGTCTCGGTGGTCTGGTTGTTAAACAGGTAACAATCCTTTCAACCACGCTCAACCGTTCAATCTATCGCGGTATGATATTAACCGTCTCCATTAGACTCTTGTTGCTGCAGCTACAGCACGAAGACCCGGAACAGATGACATATTGGATCCCGAAAATGATATACTTAAATCGACAGCCGGTTTACTCTTGTATGGTGTTCCAAATAGGGGCCTTAGCGTAGCGAGCCTGGTGCCCATGGTTCGCGGTCAACCCAACTCAGAACTAGTCGAGGCTCTGAAGCCAGAGTCCACTTATCTTGATCTGCTGCATCAGAACTTTTGCACACATTTCACATTCATGGACGCCGAAATAATCTCATTTTGGGAAACTAAGCTATCGCCAACTGCTGAGGTGAGCAAGAGATCTACCAACCCCTGATCAATATCTAACTTTCTTCGTAGTTGCAAAAGGACGGAACATGGAAAATGACTGGTCCTATGGAGGCTTTGGTGTCCAAGTCTTCAGCAACAAGTAGCAGACCAAACGAGGAAAATTCCCCTATCAACAGCTCGCACTCGGAGATGGTCAAATTCAAAACGTGGACGGACAGGGACTACACCTTTCTTCGCGACAAGCTCAAACAGTTGCGTGATGAAGCACCTGGTATAATTTTGAAGAGGTTCTCATTGATCGGCACAGTCACGGAGGAAGACGAATTATTGGGTAGGAAGTATCGGTGGACACCGCTCATTCTTGCAAGCCACAAGGGGGACGTCCAAAGGGTCAAGCGACTGTTGCGGGAGGGGGCATCTGTGAACGAAACGGCAGACAGCGATGACACTGCTCTTCACCAGGCTGCCTCAAAAGGCTCCGAAGTTCTTGTACGGCTCCTTCTGGATAGCGGTGCCAGGATAGATGCAAAGAACAACTTGGAGCAGACGCCTTTATCCAAGGCTGCCGAAGAGGGGTGTGATAACGTAGTTCGTCTTCTCCTCGAGAGAGGTGCATACATATCAACAACAGGAAGGTTTGGTTTCACTCCTTTACATCTCGCTTCGGCAAACGGGAAAGAGCTGGTAGCAAAAGTATTATTAGATCACAAACCAAGTACTATCATTGAAGACCTGGACATCGCCAACAGAACCCCGCTGCACATAGCCGCATTGAAAGGTCAAACCCAACTTACAAAGCTATTACTCACCCGGAACGCCCAGCAGGAAGCGATAGATCGCGAGGGTGACACAGCGCTGCATCTGGCATGCGGGAATGGACACAAGGAGGTGATTAGAGAACTGTTACTTGTGGGAGCGAACATTGAGGCAAGAAATCACATGGAATTGACACCGCTCCATATTGCATCAATTACAGGACAGAAAGCAGTCGTTGAGATGCTGCTAAGCAGAGGAGCGAAGATTGAGGCGAGATCGACGCTTGGGTTCACACCGCTCCATTGTGCGACTAATGAAGGCCATGATTCTATTGTGAGGGTGTTACTAGAGCGTTCCGCGTCTTCGGAGGCTACTCGTCCTAATGGTGATACCGCTCTGCATATAGCGTCAGCATGTGGGAAGGACACCGTAATTACTTCATTGTTGGATCTCGGTGCATGCATTGAGGCAAAAAACACAGAAATTAGGGCAACACCTTTGCATCTTGCCGTAATCAACAATCAGGTAGGGGCAGCCAGCCTTCTACTAAATCGCGGGGCAGATATCCGGGCCAGATTGATTGATAGAAGGATGCCTATTCATATTGCAACCCTTCTCGGATTCGATCGTATGGCATCTCTCCTGCTGGATCGTGGGTCGGATATCGAGGCCAAATATGATGATACGTTACGGACGCCTCCGATGTTTCTTGATGTGCAAGTTTCAGAGAGTTATACTCTCGCAACACCCCTCATACTGGCTGCATCTTGCGGGCACACTTCACTTTGTAAGCTGCTGATTTCTCGCGGAGCAAACGTGGAAGCGGGGGCAGGACATTGCACGCCACTGCACGTTGCCTCGAGCAGAAATGTCGCCGTCATTTCTACGTTGCTTGAAGCACAAGCAGATATTGAGTCCATTGGCCGTGCCAACACTACCCCTTTGCACTGGGCATCGGTCTGCGTATCCGACGATAGTGTTCGTGCTTTACTCGACCGAGGGGCAGATATCGAGGCCAAAACAGATTTTGGATGGACAGCCCTACATTATGCATCGAGTTTGGGGCTTGATCAAAATGTACGAGCCCTAATAGGCTGGGGTGCAGATGTTAACGCCACAGACCGTTCAAGGCGAACGCCATTAAGCCTTGCAAAGGATGGAAAGCATTGGGGTGTCATTCAGCTGCTAACGGAGCACGGCGCAAGGGAAAGTGTTTGGTGGAGACGTTCACCAGGTTCGGTACCCCATGTGTCCCCTATCGTGTGAGCAATATATCTATACGCATACTAAATAGTTATGATTAAGGCCCTACCATTTCTAGCAGTTCGAAAAATAGGATACAGCCTAAAGGGAGTTCGTCTGAACGAGGAAGGAAACCTGCCTCTGGTGGTACCTATAATACTGCGGTGCCCAATCAGTATCTCGCTATTCCGCAGCCTTCGGTCCTCACCGGTGAGACTCTAATGGTGAATAATGCAGGATCATCTAAGAGAAAGAGAGATGAATTCGGATTGGATGAGGAGATAAATGGAAGTAAGAGAAGAAGGGAGTATAACGAGCAGCAGCATGAAGGAGGGAAGGAGAGCGACGACGAACAGGGTGCAGTTGGATGGGCCCTATCTAAGCTGGGTATCAAGTGGTGGTGAAAGTACACTAAGTGCACGGTGATCTTTGTATCTAGACTTAATATACAGTTTTCTGGGGCGGGGGTGCCAACACGTGTACTCTAGCTACGTTACCGCAGGTATGTTCTGATCCATTGACCAAGGCGTCAATTTGGCCAAGTGCGCGCACAATTCGTCAAGATTGATGGGTAGGGCGATCCGTTCAGAAGGCCCATATTATGCTGAATAGGCTGCTTCATCCATCAAACTCAGGTAGTATCTTTACTCCAGTCATCAAGTAATCTGTAGGTTAACCTGCTAGATTTAATTGAAGGTTACTGGTAGATCGAAATAGGATGTCTATGACAAATTATAAAAACTGAGGACAACCTACACAAAGCGGCCCAATTTACTAAACCTGGGACCTGACATGAAATGACCAAGGCCAGGCCTTGAGGTCCCGAGACCCTTGAGGTCCAGAGATCCTTGAGGTCCAGAGATATCCTTGAGGTGCAACATCCCGGAGTCCTGAGGCGGCTCGACATATATGGAAGTCTCCTCCTGGCTTTGCTTGTTTGAACTCGTTGGCATAATTTGATCAGAGATCGATTCATTTTGTCAGAGGGAAATAGCGTAAAGCGTATGTCAGGGGATACCATTTGATCATTAGATCAACTATCTATCAAGACGCCCATTTGGCCAATGGATCGCCCCGTCTGTAATGTTGCTCGATAGGGCTTAAACCTGAGCTTGGTGGGCGCTGGCTCGCCCCTGGGAGCTAACAGTGAGCTTGATGGGCGCTGGCTTGTTCTCTGAAGCTACACCTGTGCTTGGTGGGTGCTGGCTCGCCCCCACAGGGCCGAGGGCTCCTCCTGGCCTTGGTGGCCGCTGGCTCGCTCCCCTGAAGCTCCTGCTGCCGCAGATACGTCTCCTATTACCCCTCCTGGCTCTGGCTAGCCTCTTGATGCTCCTGCTGGCACTGGCCAGTCTTCAGTAGCTCTTGCTGACTATTGTCGGCGTCGGTTCACACCCCGAAACTCATCCTCACCTTACTGAGTGCTGGATCGCCTCAGGTTGCTAATGGTGAGTTATAATTAGGGTTGTTCTTTCCCATTCGCGTTCGCGGATGCTACCTATTCACCAGAGATTTTGATGTATCCTACTAATATAAGAATTTTAGAACTGTGACATGGATTTAAACGTCCTCAGTTAAACTGGGAAATGAAGATAAAGTGAAACCTACAAAAATTCCACAATGTAAACTGTCTTCACATATCAAAGGTCAGCGAGAACTATCGTTGCTCAAAGTTGGAAAGATAGTAGTGTGGTCCACGAGGACACTCGAGGCAAGGTTTGGGGTTATCCTCGAGGTGTCTTGTCCTCGTTGACTTGTGCCCTTGTCTGTCCTCGAGGTCCGGCGCTGTTGTCCTCGTGGTCTGGCAGTATTGTCCTGGAGGTGCCTCGAGGCAAGCCTGGCAAGGACACATATTGTCCTTGAGGTTCCGTGTCCTTTTGGACCAATGTCCTTGCGTGTCATAGAGGACAAGTCACCAAGGCAAGGACACAAGGACGCTCGTCCTCGCGGACCACAGTGAAAGATAGTGAGATCAACTGTTCATGTCCACAGTCATCTTTTTACCTCACGGTATCTCGAGGGCAAGAATGGAAACTACAACATCGCAATTGGGTCGAGCATTAGAGCGATTTGGCCAACGACTTCTGAACCTAAATATTTAATTCTTGGCGACAGTTTTTGGTGTGAAAATCCCGCCAAGACCTCAAAATTTGAGCTCAAAATTTGAAAAACAGGGATTGGCCAAATCGCTCTATTACAATCAGGACAGTATGGATTTGGAGAGACACTCCAGTGTATCAATTTTTTTTTTTATGTTTAATTCATAGTCGCATGCAGGCCGTAGTCTATGGCGGCGCACCATCTTCTCCAAGCAACCAGTGCAGGGCTTCACCTTTATGAGATGTTAGCCTCAGGTGTGGAATACCTCAACCGACATCTAAGCCAAGCACCTTCGCTTAGTCACACCGCTCCACATCTCCAAATGCGCCATTTGCGCGCCGGGTGCTTGAAAAACTCCACATAATACATGCTAACCATATGTGGTTAACAGTAGTCATTTAGTTCCGCCTGACGGTTTAAGAGATAAATGCAGCATTTGTTTTCAAGTGCAGTTTTACTCCCTCATTATAGACAATACGTATTTGTGATTATGCAGTATTTCTAAAAGAATGTGTTGTTGAAACAATACCATCTTCTGAGCAATCTAGTATTACTATTGTTCCCTGACCGCATTGGCTCAATGTCTCTTTGCTGAAATACCATTGTGCTGCTGTTTTACTGCCGTATCTTTAGCAATGCGGCAGTTGGTAGAATGCAGCAGCACTACCACAGTACAATGATCTTGTCCAGAAAACTTCTTCTGGCTAGTCCCGCATTTCTAGCATAGTGCTATCATATTCTTAGCACCGCAGCACTTGTCAGAGTATGGCAGCACTACTGCAGCATAACGGTATTGTCCAGAATACCACTTCTAGTTAATGCAGTATTCCTATCATAATACTGTTATATCCTTGGTACTGCAGCATTTCTGACACAACCGAAGTCTTACAACTTAGCCTACCACTGTGTTACCGTATCAGCAAGCTTGCGTATCACCCTAGGTGCAGCCTCTTCATCCTAGTGAACATTCCGTGCCATGAGCGCCTCACGCTTCTGGCACCACCAGTGTATACTGCTCGAGCGCGACTCTGCTTCAGTAGCGCCTACCCTTCCAGCACCGCCAGGAAATATGGCTCACATCTGGAGGGCATTCGCCAATGCTCTCACAGTTTTTTTCAATGCTTTTACGGTACGATGAATGCTCTTACAGAAAGGCGATTTTTATCACGTCACCGCGAATGCTCCCGTGAATGCTCCCCCCAATGCTCCCGCGAAAGCTCCTACGAATGCTTCCGCGAATGCCCACGGGAATGCTCAAGCGAATGCTCACCCGAGTGCTCCCACGAGTGCTACCAAAGCACTGACCAATGCTCACAGAGCACTCACAAATGCTCATAGAGCACTCATCAATGCTAACAGAGCACTCACCAATGCTCACAGAGCACTCACCAATGCTCACAGAACTGAGGCATTCGTCATACCCACTCAAAATAAGACAACTCTCACTTTACCCCCTTTGTATTGATAGGTTATTGTCAAAGGATAGGAAGGCACCAGTTCCTCAAATGATATCTAACGTGGGTATCCTCAACACCGCTGTATAGTCAGTCACGGGATAACGATACGAGCACTGCCTATATACTGATGACGACTAGTCAATCTTTGATAGAGGCGTGTGCTTCTGTCGATTCGTGAAAGGCATAATTAGCCTTGAGGTCGAGGCCATGGTACGGCTAATCTGAAAAGCTCAATATCCATTCATAAGCAGCAAACATGGACTGGCATTGCCCTCCTGGAGCGAGCTTGCTGGATCGTCAGACTCAGATACTGAGCGGCTGAAACCTTACCTCCTTCTTCCAATCCGCATGTATAGCAGAACGACTCGAATTTTGAATTAGAGAGTCCAATTGGATCTAACGTTCCCAGAGCACTCACACATGCTCTCATGGCTTTGCAAGCATTCAACTAAATTCGTTTCACATACGCAAGTCTATCCTAGTATTTACCAACCAATTACCAGTCTCCGCCTCAAACAAATGGGCCATTCCCAATATACTCCGATTATTAACGACCCAGATCCTCTTTCTTCTTCTCCTACAAACATTCAGGAGCCCATGTAAGGTATCATCAATACCACGATTCTTTGCCTTGACTAGCTCCACTATACATAGTCTCTATGCTCGCCTCCGACTGTCCTGCAGCTTGAACAAAGCCTTTACACGTACTGGTAAGCGTACCCGAAACACTCCCCACTCCTCTGAAAACGCTACCGATACCGATACCTAATCATTTCTTGTTTTGCCTTTCCCACAAGCCGGGTCTCCCATACACCTAATATTGTGAACCTCGTACACCTCAAGTCTTTGTAACATTGGTATCGGAACCTGCAAATATGTTAACATCTCCACCCGATGCTCTAAAATGCTCTCATAGCTTCCAGGATAGCTCTGAGAGCATTACGCATGCTCTGTATACTCCTTTATCAGGCGATATAAGGTGGTATGGCTTATTTGCAGTCCATCCGCAATATTAAAAAGTCTTTCCGATTTCGTGGTGGAGTTGCAAAGACGCTTTAGAGGCAACCCTCCTTCTACTATGGATCGTTCATTTCAAGTTTTTTTCCCGTCTTCGATTTTAAAAATCTCAAGTAACTCCTTCAGGTTATCTCAATGGCTCCAAAGGATATCGTCAGTGCTCTCAGGACCTCCAACAATATCTTTCAGATTCAGAATTCGAATCTCTTACCCAACCGCCGCCTCCCATAGTACAGTATCTGCATTACAGCATCAATCTTGTTGGATGCTCCGTATCACTCTTTTATCTGATGTATATGGGCGAGTTTGCTGATGTCGGTAGAGTACTGGGGAATGCTCCCAAAGCTGTTACGAACTATATCGTTATGTTTAATGTATGAGTCATTAGGAAGTCTGGAAGGTTCCGTGGGATTAGTAATCGGTTCTCATCTCCTTACTATAAAGAGTTGCTTGTGTCTTCTGTTATCTTTCTTCCTTTTTTCCTTACGCAACATCTTGTATTCTACTTTGGGTTATTACTTTGGGGGATTCACTTCGCTTCAATACATTACTTTACTCTCAGTCCACGTTACGTCTGCTGTCCCTCATGCCCTGTGCATCCGCTGCTATGATCTTCGCCGCCTCTCTATTCCTCACCTCGTCCCTCTCGGTGAACATGCCGACCGTCGTTATCTCCATCCTCGTACGAACTTCTACCTCTGCCCTCTTACATACCCTCGTCGCTGTCCTGTCCTCTGTCTTTGCACAGACCTCTGTCCCGGCCTTCGGGTATACCACTGCACCATCCCTCGTCCTCGCGCGAGGCCTGCCCCTTCCCTTTGGGTACCCAACCATGTCCCTCGACCCCTCAGCTCCTACCTCGCCCATGGTTCTTTACAAAAGCGCTCGACATGTGCCCAATAGTGCAATAATACGTGCAATTTGATGAAGTTGAAGTGAAACCTTTCTCGTATCTCGCGAATCTCCTCTAAGCCTCGCTGAATGCTCTGGGAGCCTGAGATGTTTAACGCTTTTGTCTGATTTCTCGCATCCTTAACCGTGCTCTTGTATTCCTAGAATTCTAAAAAAATATTCTTGTGCTTATGGAAATTCTCGAGATAGCTCTCAATATAATTCAGTGTGCTCATCGTATGACTCCAATACTGCGCCATTAATTGGAAGTCAAGTAAGCCTCGTACATATTTCAATGCCTTTGCAAAATCGCCCCTGACAGCCATTCTTGGGTTTCTCAAACCAGGCGTGAATGCTACAAGAAGGACCTACTCCAGATTTCTCATCTCCTTGCCTTGCCATTGGGTTGTAGCACAATATGCCTTGTTCGGTCCTATCACTCCAGTGTAAGGCGCAATCAAGGCCCCAGTCTTGTCAAATTCCTCCAATCGATCGTGCTTCTTGAAGAAAGCCTGAATCCACTCCATCATGTGCTTCAACATCCCTAGATAGATATTGTGCAGAATGTCCGGTTTGTTGAGATCATATGGATTAACCCTTGGTATACTCCAGAAAGCATTGAAGAGTGTCTTCACTGATCTCGCGACAAGGTATTCCATCAGTCTCAGGTTTCCCAAGTTCTCCCTGAATAACTTTATCCTCTCCCGGTAATCCTCGTGATTGCGCATAGGGCTCTGGCCAGTGCTCACAAGACTGTCGAATTCCACCTTGCATCTTGTACAAGAACTAGTACTAATATTTTGTAAGTTTGCATGCTCAGGTTAATCAGCGATCCAATCGGAGAACACCGGAAAGCAGAGACATTCGTCCCCGTCGCTGCATGCAATTAGTTCTCCTTCCTGAGAGCACTTCCGAATGCTCTGGAAGATCTCCCCAAGGGTGCAATGCAGCGCCATTTGACTCTGACGTCGTAAAGCGGAATTACTGAGTGAGTTATTCCCGAGCTTAGGTGGGACTGGCAGTAGCTATAGGAAAATTAACGGATGCCCGGTGGGCTTGCTCTGCACCGATGACTTGATTTTCCCGATGGTAAGATAAATTGACCAGGCTTTCTCGTTTTCACTAAAATTTGTCAAATGTGCGCCATCTGACGTGCATATAATTGGTACTGTAAAGGGGGTTCTTTCTAAGAGAAATAGAATCGGATAGAATAGAGACGGCCGTGCAAGATAGACAATTAGGTTGCAGATTATTCAAAGATACTATCGCTAGAACTCAATAATCTTTAAGGGCTCTGCTACCGATAAGAACTTGGTTTTCTTTCTGATGAAGACTGGAGAGAACAGGACTGAAGGGCGAGAATGAACCTGAGTACTTATACTCCGAAGGCCTCTATTCTCTGCTCCTAACTCCTTACTAAGTTCCGGTGAGGCCTTTCCTCGGTGCCGGAAACAATACCACCGCTACCCCGCTTTTCTCTAAGCGTCAGCAGGTGTTTCCGATACCCAAGGCAACCACCCTTAGTCAAAGCCTTTGTAACACCTGCAGCCTTGGTTGCCACACAACCGAGGGCCTGCATGAATGAGCTGCCGCTCATATGTAAGCTTAATCATTGCTGTAGAGCTTTCGCTTATTGTAGACTTCCCTAGCATAGTCCCTGCCCCTTCGGCGGACATACAATGCTCAGAGGACACAGAGGATCACCGGGCAATCAGTGCTTCACTCTGGCCGGTCTTCTAGTCACTGGCGAGGCATAGACTCGTCAGTCATTGCTCCCATGAATAGATCCCCTTCCTAGCGCCCGGAATCTAGTTACTCTAACAGCTGGTAGCTAACCACACTGCCGGTACTTGCATATCACCGTGCAACTGGCTTCTAACAATAACTCTCAGCACGTAACCGGGCCCTGTGTGTACTCATACACCAGACAGTTGAAATGGCTCCGTTACACCACTCCCCTCTTCCTGGATCTTGGTCTCCGAGATCTATAACCATTCTATTACCATCCATTCTATGTGACAAGAGATTCCGTAATGCAAGGAATGAAAACCTAAAGAAGAAAACTACACCCCAACGACCCGCTTGTCCTTGGGTTTCTTAGGATACCTCATATGGAAATCCTGAAGGGCTCCTTCAGCACTCTTCTTGAGATGCTCCCAAGGTTCCCATGTAGCATCCTCATTCTCATAACCTTCCCATAGCACTAGGTATTCCACTCGTCTCCTTTTCTTATTGACCCGGCTATCAGCTACCTCTCGGACAACCCAGTTCTGTTCTCCTTCAATCTCTTCAGGTTCCGGTGGTGGAACTCTTCTCTCAGGATCTACCGGTGCTCTGTAAGGTTCGAGAAGAGAGACATGAAAGACCGGGTGGATTCCCATTTGAGGGGGAAGAGAGAGCTTGTAGGCACAGGTACCAATAGCTTCTAAGACCTTGAAGGGTCCCATCTTCTTCTGATCCAGTTTTCCCAAAGGCCGCTTTGTTTGCACATTGCACCGGTCAACATTACTTCATCTCCGGGCTTGATTTCGGGCGGTGCCAGGGCATGAACATCATACCACCGGGCCATCCTTAATCTAGCTTTACCCAAGCTGGCATTCATAGCCTGCCAGATAGATTCCCATTGAGATATCATGACCTCACTTGCTGGATTGTTCCATTCTACTCCTTCCTTTGGGGCTGGCCAGTTGGTCCTGGGTTCATAACCATAGTTGGCATAAAAAGCCGATACTTTGGTAGACACAGAGACCGCCGAGTTATATGCATACTCTGCCAAAGGCAAGAGTTCTGCCCAGTCATCCTGTTGATATGAACAATAACTTCGCAAGTAATGTTCCAGGGTCTGGTTAACTCTTTCTGTTTGACCGTCCGTTTGGGGGTGGAAAGATGTGGACATCTTCAGCTTCACATTGAGGAGACTCATGAGAGATTGCCAAAAGTGAGAGATGAACCTGCTATCTCTGTCCGAGACTATGTCATCAGGTAAACCATGGAGTCTCCAAACTTCCTTCAAGAACAACTTAGCCAAATATTCCTTTTTATTGAGTGTAGGAAGAGGGATGTAGTGTGCCATCTTCGAAAAACGGTCCACTATTACCCAGATCTTTGTAAACCCACTAGATTTCGGCAATCCCACAATGAAGTCCATAGAGATGGAAGTCCATGGCCGATAGGGTATCTCCAATGATTGGAGCATACCAAACTTCTTATGTCTGGAGGTCTTATTCCTCTGGCAGCTATCACAGCTCCGGACATATTCCTCAACATCCTTATCCATGTTGGGCCAAAAGAAGTTATTTTTCAGCCGCTCTAGTGTCTTAAATTGGCCAAAATGACCAGCCACCTTAGAGTCATGGGTATCCGACAGTATTTCCATCTGAAGCTTCTTGTCTTTGGGTATATACCATCTATTCTTATAGAAGATGAGACCGTTCTTGACCGACAAGTTCTGGTCCAAATTTGGTTTCCTTTCAACCAGGGAGCGGTGCAGTTCCTGCCAGAAACTATCCTCTTTAACAGCCGCATATAGGTGTTCTAAGAATGTATTCTGCAATTGATTCACCCTGACAGCCGCTAGCTTTGCAGGATCCAAAACCAATTGACCTAGCCTAAAAAAGATCTGTGGCTCGGGCTGCAAAGTTTCACCTCCCTCTCCAAGACGGTGATCCCAGCGCCTAGATAGCACATCAGTCTTGCCATTCTTTTCTCCCGGTCTGTAGACAACTTTGAAATTGTAGCCTGCGAGGTCTTCAGACCATCCAGCTTGCCACCTAGTGAGAACCTTGGTAGAATTAAAATACTCCAAGTTCTTGTGGTCTGTAAAAACCGTGATCTCCTGCTAACAAGATTTGAGCATGTGTTCCCATTCCCGGAAAGAGGCTACAATAGCTCCCATTTCCTTATCATGAATGTCATAGTTGATCTCAGCAGGGGAGAACTTCTTAGAATAGAATGCCACCGGATGTAGCTTTCCATCCTCCCCATACTGAGAGAGCACCGCTCCCTTGGCAAAATCACTGGCATCTGTCTCAACAACCGTTCTCCTACTAGGGTCAAAATGAAGAAGGATTGGAGCGCTTGTGAACAGCCTCTTGAGTTCTTCAAAGGCCTGCTCATGTGCTGCCGTCCAATACCATTTCTTGACTTTCTGCAAGAGGTCAGTTAATGGCTTGCAAACCTGACTAAAGCCTTCAATGAAGCGGCGATAGAAGTTTGTATATCCGAGGAATACCTGTACTGCCTTAATATTCTCAGGGCCGGGCCATTCCTTAACTGCCTCCACCTTGTCTTCTGACATAGATACTCCCTTTTCTGAGATATGATAGCCTAGGTACTCTACTTCTCGGACATGGAAGGATGTCTTACTGATCGAAGCACAGAGCTCAGCTTCCCTAAGCTTCTGTAATACCTTCTTGACCAGTAGCTCATGCTCTTCCTCATTTTCCGAGTAGATGAGGATATCGTCAATATAGACAACCACTCCTTCATCCAGTAGTTCCTTTCGCACATCATTGATCATTGCCTGGAAGGCAGAGGGAGCATTGCATAGACAAAACGGCATCACATTATACTGATACAGTCCATAGCGGGTTCTGAAAGCGGTTTTCCACTCATCACCTTCGGCGATCCTGATCAAATTGAAGCCGTTCTTCAGGTCTATCTTTGTGAAGATCTTGGCCTTGAACAACCTGTGTCTGAGCTCACTCATGATAGGCAGTGGGTACTTGTCCTTGACAGTAACCTTGTTCAAACCTCTGTAATCCACACAAATCCGCAATGTCCCATCCTTCTTAGGAATGAACAATATGGGCACCGCAGCAGGGCTGTTAGATCTAGAGATCTTTCCTGAACCCAATTCTTTGTCCAGGTACTCTCGGAGGGCCTTCAACTCTGGAGCGGAACAAGGGTATAGCGGACCAAATGGGGGAGCGGTGCCAGGCAAGAGTTTGATCTTCAAATCATTATGGGAATGCGGCGGCATTTCCCCAATCTTCTCTTGCCTGAACACATCGGCCCATTCCCGGTATAGGTGGTGTATTTTATCAGCAATATCACCTCCATCCTCATCATACCATACTGAAGCAACCAATTGATAGACTGTCTCTTCTTCTTCCAGCATCTGGTATGGAGAGATCAGTTCAATCTTGGTGGCCGCTGGGAGACAGTTCTGCTTGCAGTAGTCACTCCTCCAGCTCATGGTGTTGAGTTCCCAATTGATGTCCGGGTTATGCTTTCTTGTTATAGGAAATATGAGCACTGCCCTAAGTCGAGGAAATAGGAAGAATACGAGTAATGGGTTGTGATGCGGGTACGGTCGGGTAGCGGAAGAACAAGCATAGAAAGGTACCGAGGGGTGTGGGAGCACCGGGTGCAACCACACTAGTATTAGGCTATTGTGAGGACACGCTTACTATTGGGTGTCTCACCCGGAACGGAATAGAAGCGGGGTTGATGGCTGCAGGCCATTCTACTTAAGGAAGTAGCTATAGGACAATAGTATGATACAGCTCGGTTACTGGCAATTGCAGGGTTTATGGTTACGTGTTAAGATTAGAATGGAGGAACGGAACTATGCGGGGGCGCTTTTCTATCGGGGTTATCTTCGGGTTGATTGTCTTATTCTATTATCGTGGTATTAGTAGTATTAGAAAGCGGGCCTTGGCATAGGTTCCAATATGGATAAATAGGGAAGGATTCTGCCTCGTCTTAGTGGCATCATCAGTCACTCAGTGAGCGGAATCCGGTTTACAATATTACAAGTTTAAAAGCTATAGAATTATCGCTTAGCATTGGCATTTCCCCAAACATTTCTAGCCCAACTAATTGGCAGATAACCGGTCATTCCTTCTTCCAATGTAGCCACCTCCCATCGGAGTGTCTCCTTATGATCTCCCATAGTCATGCGGACCGGGTGAGTGTAATACTCGCCTCCTCCCATCATGACATCTCCTTGAGCATCAAACATTGTCAGAGGTTGATCCCGCCGCACTAAGGCAATTCCATGTTTTCTGACAAAACTCTGGTTGAGGATAGCTCCTGTGCAACCGGTGTCAAACAGGAAAGACCCTTGGGCGCCTTCATCCTTTCCTTTGACCGTCCATGACAGTCCTGCCTTCAGTATAGGTCTTTTTCCATGTACTGGTAAGGAGGGAAGCCTCTGTTTCAACCTTCTTTGCTTAACAGCGGGTTCTGAACTCGTTTCTCTTTGTCTTTTCAACATAGCTAAGAGCTTCGGGCACTACTAAAATCAAAGATCCTTTGGTTCTATTCCCAAGTGAAATATAGCAGGTATGATGTATAGTAGTTTTTTGGCAGCGGTTTGGGAGTGTCTTGGTAGCAAATGTAACTTTGGTAGAGCACTGACAGACCAGTCTGTTTCGGGTCTTAAACCCATCCTCAGAGTGCTTGGAGCAATCAAATAGGGAGAAACACAATCATAGTTTATTCAAGAGAAAAATAGATACCGAAAAACCCATATAAAAGAAAACTAGTAAACATAGACTCAAACAGACACTTTTCTACCAGATGATTTCATTGTCCGAGTCTTGCTCAGGCTGAAAAACAAAATCTTCTGTAACCTCCGGGAGTACAACCAGTGGATCCTCTGCTACTACAGCAGCCACTTTAGCCTTCTTCTGAGAGTTGGACTTGCCATTCCCTCTTTTCCGCTTTTGTACTCTCACTGCTGCCACTCGGACAACAGTAGGTTCCTTGGACCAACAATCAGTCCATTTGTGTCTGGACTTGCCGCACTATTGCACAAGTCAGTCTATGCACTCTATCAATAGGGAGTACCGAAAGGTCATACCTTCAAGCATACTTCTCCTTTCCTTCTTTCTTCTAGAATATCCCCCGGGATACCCTTCAGTTCCACCGCTCTGTCCTTAGGTCCGGTGGCCTTCTGAGGTCTGGAAGAGCTTGCAGCTTCTCTCTTCCTCTTGAGCTGCTGGTCCTTCTGAGCGGGAGGATCCTTCTTGGTCTGAGGGGGTGCTTTCTCAGCTGCCAACCCTTGATACCTCTCATGTGTGTGCCCTAACTCTCTTAGAGCAGCTATCCGCTCCATCAAAGACTTTGGCTTGGGGTTAAAAAGAGCCCAACTCATGCCTAGGTCTGGAAGGAGGGAATTATTGATTTTATCATCCACCAACTGACCCTCATAGCCAGTCTTCCACATCACCTGAATGATAGTATTCAGGAAGAGATCAATTCCTCCTCGAGCCGTGTAGGTAAGAGTATTCCAATGGGCTACAGCATCATCTCTGGAGATGGCTTCACCGAAGGCTGCTCTAAAAGCATCCACAAAGGAATCCCAGCGCTTCCATCTCTGATCCAACATCACCGGCATTCCAGCAAGACGGTTGGCAGAGGTTTGATCAATTGAGTTGTGGTATGCCTCATACCATCGGATCGCTGCCTCCCCTTCCATCAAATTGCCTGCATATCGGATCTTAACTTCCTCAGAAGTAAATGACAGGCTCTCAATGGAGAACACATTCTCACATTGCCGGATGAAGGTCTCCACTTGCTCCGCCTTGCCTTGGAACTTTGAGGGAGGCGGTGCCTTTGGTTCTCGGGCCCTAGTAGAAGCAGTAGGGGGAGAGGCGGCTGGAGGTCGGTACTGCTGGGACATCATAGCTAACAAATCCCTTTTGTAAAGAACCATGAGCGAGGTAGAAGCTGAGGGGTCGAGGGACATGGTTAGGTTCCCAGAGGGAAGGGTCCGGCCTCGCACGAAGGCGAGGGATGGTATAGTGGTATACCCGAAGGCAGGGACAGAGGTCGGTACTATGACAGAGGTAATGGTCCGTACGAGGACGGAGATAACGGCGGTCAGCAGGTTAACCGAGAAGAACGAGGCGAGGAGTAGGAAGGCGGCGAAGATCATGACAGTGAAGGCACCCGGCATGAGGGACAGCAGACGTAAAGTGAACGGAGGGTAAAGTAATGTATTGAAGCGAAGTAAATCCCCCAAAGTAATAACCCAAAGTAGAATACAAGATGTTGCGTAAGGAAAGAGAAGGAAAGACAACAGAAAACACCAACAACTCTTTATAGCAAGAAAATAACAACCGATTACTAATCCCACAGAACCTTCCAGACTTCCTAATGACTCATACCTTTAATATAACGGTATAGTTCATAACAGTTTAGCTCCTCCCCCCAAAGGGCGAGCTCCTGCGAGCAGACAGGCAAAAACAATATAAGAAAGAAAAAGAAAAGAAAAGAAAGGAAAAGAAATGAACAACTTAACTAAGCAAAATAGAAAAGACCAACACCGGAAAACGTAAAGTAGAACCATTTCATTTACTAAAGAAACCAAAGCAACTTATACCTTCCCACGGGGGATCCTCTTAGGGACTAAGGCGGGTTTGGTGGGGTACAGGGAGTGAAAACGTTGCAGCGACCCCAACTCCGCATCAAGGTTCCGAGCGGGTTCCCAGGTGGGTTGTTCGTAGCCTGTCTATTTAACCAGATATTGTAGTTGCCGATGACGTATTCTCGAGTCTAGCACCTCCTGCACTTCAAACTCCTCTTCCCCTTCGACAATTACCGGCGGCGGGGGTGGTTGTATGTGGCCAGGAAGAGGCTGCGTTTGGGCGGGTTCTAGTAGGGAGAGGTGAAACACTGGATGGGACTTCATCGATGGGGGAAGCTCTAGTCGGTAGGCATGAGATCCAATGCGCTCGAGTATTTTGAATTTCCCTGAGCGTTTATGGTCCAATTTGTCCGATGGTCGAGTAGTTCGTATATGTTTTAGCGACAACCATACCAAATCCCCTACTTCTAGTCGTGGTTCAGGAAGTCGGGTAGTGTTGGCGCTATCGGCAGCGGCGGCTTGGGCGTACAGGATCTCGGATCGCAATGCGGTCTGTAGAGTGGTGATCGAGTTGGCAAATTCTACTACTTCCTTCGGCGTGGATTCATGTCTTTCTTCGGCGGGTAGGATGTCCAGTTGTGGATTATACCCATAGTTGGCGAGGAAGGGACTAACCCCTAAGGGCTCCGTGGTGGCATTATTGTGCGCGAACTCTGCCAGCGGGAGGAATTCTGCCCAGCTGTCCTGTTGATAGTTGACGTATCCCCGCAAGTACTGTTCCATAATTGCATTTATTCTTTCGGTCTGTCCATCGGTTTGTGGGTGGAAGGCGGTACTGAATCGAGGTTTGATGTCCAATTGGTTGCACAGTGCTTTCCAGAACTGCGAGGTAAAGGTCGTGCCCCTGTCCGATACTATGTCCTTTGGCAGTCCATGAGATTTCCAGACATATTGTAAGAATAAGCGGGCCAGTTCAGGGGCATCAGCCGTATCTCTAGTAGGGATATAGTGGGCCATTTTAGTGAGTCTGTCGACAACCACGAGGATAGCGTTGGATCCTTGGGACTCTGGTAGGCCGGTGACGTGGTCCATTGACAACGAGGACCAGGGTTTAACTGGGGGAACGAGAGGTTTGAGGAGGCCATAAGGAGCGTGTCGGGCCGGCTTGATCCGGGTACAAGTGTCGCAGTGGTACACGTGGCGGGCAACGTACTTTCGCATTTGGGGCCAGTAGTAGTTTCGTGACAGGAGTTCCAGCGTGCGGGCGCGTCCAGGGTGTCCGGCCGAAGGTGCATCGTGGTTGGTGCAGAGGATCTCCAGCTTAATGGTAGCATCATCGGGGATATATAGTAGGCCCTGATAGTACAGTAACCCATCCTTGATTGCACATTCCCCGATAGGAAGAAAACGAGAGTGTTTCTTCTTGGCGATGATATCCTTCATCAATTGTTTGGACAGCGGGTCATTGGCTAAAGCAGCCTGCAGTTCATCGTGACGGGCGGGTGATACCTTGGCGGGTTTGGGGACCTCTAGTACGGCGGCTAGACGGAGGTTCTTTGGCTTGAGTATAACCTGATGCTGTTGGGTCAGTCTTTCATCCCCTTCCTTAGGGAGATCTCCAGATCGACGTGTGAGGGCATCAGGTTTTCCATTCTTCGTACCCGGTCGGTAGGTAACCACAAAGTTGAAGGAAGACAGCGTTAGGGACCAACGAGCTTGGCGACGGTTAAGAATCTTCGTGGACATGAAGTGTTCCAGGTTCTTGTGGTCGCAGTATACCGTGATCTCCTGGTTGCTTGGTCCCAGGTACTTTCACCATACCTCAAACGCACGGACAATCGCCAGCAGCTCCTTGTCATAGATATCATAGTTGCATTCGGCTGGCGTCATCTTATGAGAGTAGAATGCCACTGAGTGTAGGATTCCTTGGTCATCTTTCTGGGAGAGCACGGCGGCCGCGACAAAATCAGAGGCATCGGTTTCCAATATACAGGCCCGTTCGGGGTCGAAATGCTTCAGTATTGGTGCCGTGGTGAAAGCTTCTTTTAGTTGATTAAAGGCATGGTCCGCGGGGGTGGTCCATACAAACTGGGCATCCTTCTTTAGCAGGTTTGTCATCGGGGACACCACTTTGGAATAATCGCGGATGAATCTCCGGTAGAAATTTGCGAATCCCAAAAAGACCTGTATGTCGTGTACCGAGGTAGGTGTTTTCCACTCCTGTATCGCCTTGGTTTTATCGGTAGCCATGGTCACCCCTTTGCCCGATATGATATACCCTAAGTACTCCGTACGATCGACGTGGAACTCGCACTTCTCAGGTTTGCAGTGGAGCCCCGCCGCTTGTGATTTGTCCAGGATGGTGTTGACATGTCGCTGGTGTTCCTCCTCCGTATTCGAGTAGATCAGGATGTCGTCGAGGTACACCGTTCAGAAGTCGTCGAGGTAGGTCCGGAGGGTGTCGTTCATGAAGGCTTGGAAGGTGGCGGGTGCATTGGTGAGTCCGAAGGCCAAATATTCAAACAGTCCATACCGAGTCCGGAAAGCGGTTTTCCATTCCTCCCCTTCCTTTATCCTTATCTGATTGTACCCATTGCGGAGATCCAGCTTAGTATAGATCTTGGCGTCCTTGAGTCTATCCAGGGTGTCGTTGATCAGTGGCAGTGGGTAGCGGTTCTTGACCGTGAGGGCATTGAGGGCGCGATAATCCACACATAGTCATAGGGAGCCATCCTTTTTCTTAATGAATAGGACGGGGGCTCCGGTGGGAGAGGAAGAAGAGCGGATGTAACCTCGAGTCAGTTCTTCATCAAGGTATTCCCGAAGGGTCTTCAACTCTTCTGACGACATGCCGTATAATGGGCCAAATGGCGGTTGCTTGCCTTCTTGCAACGGGATCTCGTGATCGATATACCGATGCATAGGGAGCGCTTGGGCCTCTGACTCTTGGAACAGGTGGAGGTACTGGTGGTAGGCGGTAGGAACCAATTCTTCGGTGGAGTTGGACGGCGTTGGGTTCGGACCGGCGGGACGAGCAGCCAGGAGGAAGAGGTGGTTTTCGGGTTGTTTTGCCTCCCTACGGAAGCGGGCCGCCGACAGGGTAATGGTACGGCGAGGAGCGGTGGGCCTTGGGGGTATCGGGGGTGGTGGTGAGGCGGCGGCGGCGGTAAATCTCAGAGGTATCGGTGGTGGTGGCAGGGTGGCGGCGGCGGCAGTCAGCGGGGAGGAAGCGAGGGTGGAGGTCCATAAGGCAGCTGTATGTTGTCTGCATCGATCGGCGTGGAAGGAGATAGATCGGTCGGCAAATTGAATTCTGGCGGCGTGGTGTTGGAGCCAGGGGAGACCCAGTACTCTTTTATCGTCACCTAATTGGGTGACAAATAAGGAGATCCCTTCCACGTGGGCGCCTATTTCGAGGCGGAGCTTACAGGAATGAGTGATATCTCCGGAAGCGATAGGTCGGCCGTCGATTACCTGTAACTGCCTAGGCGTGGGAAGCTGCTCGGTGATATAGCCGCGGGAGTGGGCAAACGAGGCATCGATAAATCCATACCCGGTGGCTCCTGTGTCGACTAGGGCGTGGAGATTGTCCTTGTCCCTAAACAGCAGTATCGGTATCTCGAATGGTTCACAGTCACCGGGGTGGTGGAGTTGCCCTATCTTAAGTTTGGCACCTATCCGTCTTGACCGTAGTAGTCGCAGGGCCATATGGGGACCGGGGCCGTCCTCGACATTGGCTGTGCCCCAGTGGAGGGTGACGAGCGCGGGGAGTAGTGGGGCTCCTAGCTGGTGGAGGGTGTTCAAGACTTTAACCGGTGATGGGTAAGGTCCTAATCCGGTGAGGTACGGCCGGAAGGGTAAGGGGGCTAGTCTCAAAAAGCACCAGCCCGGGTCATTCCCTGTCGGCTGTCCCCAAGGGATGGAACGTCGGCGAAGGCGGCATTGTAGGCGGCGAGTACGCCGGGGTGGCTTTAGTGGTGGGATGTGGTCGGCGAGTGGTTCCTTCATGGCCTGCATGTAGAGTCTACTGAGAAAGTAGGCTGTAGTCCAGGCTAGAAGGAGGAGTGCGGCGTTCGTGAACATTAGGATGGTGTCTGTGGTCTCCGCAGAGAGCGAGGGTATCGACGGCCGCATCAGCGAGGCGAGTTGGTGGATGTCAGTCGACCCTAACCGACGCAACATAGTGTAAAGAACCATGGGCGAGGTAGAAGCTGAGGGGTCGAGGGACATGGTTAGTTCCCAGAGGGAAGGGTCCGGCCTCGCACGAAGGCGAGGGATGGTATAGTGGTATACCCGAAGGCAGGGACAGAGGTCGGTACTATGACAGAGGTAATGGTCCGTACGAGGACGGAGATAACGGCGGTCGGCAGGTTAACCGAGAAGAACGAGGCGAGGAGTAGGAAGGCGGCGAAGATCATGACAGTGAAGGCACCCGGCATGAGGGACAGCAGACGTAAAGTGAACGGAGGGTAAAGTAATGTATTGAAGCGAAGTAAATCCCCCAAAGTAATAACCCAAAGTAGAATACAAGATGTTGCGTAAGGAAAGAGAAGGAAAGACAAGAGAAAACACCAACAACTCTTTATAGCAAGAAAATAACAACCGATTACTAATCCCACAGAACCTTCCAGACTTCCTAATGACTCATACCTTTAATATAACGGTATAGTTCATAACACCTTTGTTGCTTCTCCAACTTCTTCTTAAGGTATCTCCGCCAGCCTTTTCTGTCACCACCTTCTGGTTCCGAGTCTGAACTGTCAGAACCATCTGGATCTCCAAGAGCGGGAGCGCGGGCCGCGGGAGGTGGAGGGTTCTAATTTCCACCGCTTCCACCCTGTGCATTAGCAGGAGGGGGAGCGGCGGCCGTAGCAGGAGGGGCCACAGGTGCTACTGGTGCCGGGTTGCTGGCCAATGGTGAGGTTGGTGCTGCTTGAGTGGCCCCAGACATGGTGAACCTTCCCGGGTTCCTAGCTAGTGGACTAGGAGGTCCTCGGCCTGCACCTGGGAAAAGCTCTCCTTCATAGTCAAAGGATCGGTCGGCTCCTCCAAGGAATGGGAGTGCTCCACTAAAGCGGCTGGGAGGTAAGGGAGATGCTCCCACTGCTGGCTGCACAATAGGGATAACTCTCCTAGAGGATCGGACTGGAAATGCTGCGAAGGGACTGGTCTTTCGCTGCATTGTTCTGGTGGCTGCCCTAGAAGAGGACCTGGAGTGAGGATTTGGTGCCAGAGTTCCTGGTCTACCCACCACCAGCCTTCCTTCATCGAGGGCTCACTGTATTTTGGCAACAAAGTCTAGTGGGGTGGCCGGATTTGTCCACTCGATCTCCATGGCATCAGCATCCAGTTCATCTCTTTCCGCATACCTCCGGAGTTCTTCCTGAACAGAGTTGACCTCCATCTTCATGTACTCGAGAGCTTCTGCCATAAGAGCATTCTGTGCTGCCTGGCGCTCTTGTACAATGAGTAGTGCTTCACTGCCCCGGGTCAACTGATTATGCAGGCTGTGCTGGAGATAGGTCTGGAGCTCTGTGAAGAACTGTTGAAGGGAAACCTCGTCGGTATCCTGCCAAGCAGGCTCACAACCGGGTATGTAGGTCTGTAGAGCGGTCCTGGGCTTCTTGACAAGCTGTGTCTGCCCGGTGGCATCAAGCTGGAGGGGCACCGGCTGCCATTCAATCTGAAGGGGCATATCCGGAGCTGGGAGGGCGGACATTTTGTATAGAGGAAGAATAATCTGAAGGTGACTTGAGCCTTAAAGATTATCTGTAACGGGGGTCCTTTCTAAGAGAAATAGAATCGGATAGAATAGAGACGGCCGTTCAAGATAGACAATCAGGTTGCAGATTATTCAAAGATACTATCACTAGAACTCAATAATCTTTAAGGGCTCTGCTACCGGTAAGAACTTGGTTTTCTTTCTGATGAAGACTGGAGAGAACAGGACTGAAGGGCGAGAATGAACCTGAGTACTTATTCTCCGAAGGCCTCTATTCTCTGCTCCTAACTCCTTACTGAATTCCGGTGAGGCCTTTCCTCGGTGCCGGAAACAATACCACCGCTACCCCGCTTTTCTCTAAGCGTCAGCAGGTGTTTCCGATACCCAAGGCACCACCCTTAGTCAAAGCCTTTGTAACACCTGCAGCCTTGGTTGCCACACAACCGAGGGCCTGCATGAATGAGCAGCCACTCAGATGTAAGCTTAATCATTGCTGTAGAGCTTTCGCTTATTGTAGACTTCCCTAGCATAGTCCCTGCCCCTTCGGGGGACATACAATGCTCAGAGGACACAAAGGATCACCGGGCAATCAGTGCTTCACTCTGGCCGGTCTTCTAGTCACTGGCGAGGCATAGACTCGTCAGTCATTACTCCCATGAATAGATCCCCTTCCTAGCGCTCGGAATGTAGTTACTCTAACAGCTGGTAGCTAACCACACTGCCGGTACTTGCATATCACCGTGCAACTGGCTTCTAACAATAACTCTCAGCACGTAACCGGGCCCTGTGTGTACTCATACACCAGACAGTTGAAATGGCTCCATTACAGGTACCACAGTCGACCCCTCCGGTAAGGTATTCTGTCCTGAAAGTATTAGCGACTGCTTATAGAGCACTTGTGAGGCTTACCGGTCCTGCGTCTCCCACCACCAATCTTCCGTATGCATTTCCCCGTACATTCTTTCGCCAGATTCCTTATTCTCTACCTCTGGCACGTACACCAATGACTCCCGAAGAACCTGTTGGCGTAGAAGATATCGAACAATTACCATTAGATCCCAGTAATAGTAAGGGATTTTCGCCCCCTCAATATCCACCTCCGAATGATGCCAGCTCGCCTTTCCCAATATGTCATTCATTTCTTCTAATCTCTTTATAAAACCTCGCACAGTCCTGTAGGAGCATTCACAACTGCTTGACGGAGCGTGTAGAAAGTAACTGTCGATATTTCATTGCGAGGCCTTCGAAAGTACGAAATAACGTGCCATTCTAAACTCGTATGCTGAGTTGAATAGGTTCTATGGGTATTGGAGAAGGTTTTGTGAGCCTTCGTTGTAGTCCTCTGAGCGGTTGAGATGCTCTTCAGTACCGTCGTAAATCGTTGTCACTGCCTCATGCCTATTTCCATCTCCATCTGCCTCTTCCATCATAAAATATGATTCGGATTCCAGATCTGAATTATCATCGGTATCTTGGTAATGATAATTGATACTGTTGCTCTCCGAACTATTCGAGTCATTATGGGCATCTGAATAGTAACCGTGAATGCCTTCCGGGGTATCGTGAGTGTCATTGGGTATCGCTTGATCACGCTCCAGGAGTAAAAACTGGTTTCCCAGCCATTTATCTGCTTCAAATTGATGTGTAGTTTGAAGATGTTTATCGCAGTTCGTGGAGGAGCTATATTGCTTCCTGCAAAAAGGGCAAGACGATTTCATTAAATTCTCACTATGCTACAAAAACACTCCCAAGTGCTCTGAAGATTTGTTTTCTGCTGCAGAGTGCTCGAATGATTTGATTTGCCAGCCAATGAGGCTATCACCTGCACCCCATTGGCAAAGCTGACTTTCAGTATGAGTTTGATGTCATACATCAACTCAATACAAATACAAACACGAACACGAAGAAACACCCACCACCCCAATTAGGTGGCCAGTTACGCTAGATTCTATCGCTCTGAGCATCTGCACTCTCTCCATGAGCACTCGCGGAGTCTATTGAGATCGAGAAAATATTCTCAGCGCCAAATTCAACACTAATATCGACTACGAACTCAAAGAATACATTCTCTCCGAATCAGCTTACTAGAGGACAGAGCACCAACACCAGAATGTTATCACCATCACCATTGGTACCGTCCGAGCATCCCCGAGAGTGCCTGGAGCATTTGGAGCAACATTATATATTGAAACAAACATTGATTAAGAGCACCCTTGAGTGCTCTCAGAAGCGTGATAAGCTCAAGAAAAAATCGGATCGTACTCAGTATAAGACCACCCGTCACCCCCCCCAAGTTCGTGAGAAGTTTCTAACCACCTTCAAGTTCTTCTCTACCTATTATTTCAAGTTCTCCATTGCTTTCAACATTACATGTTGAAATCTCATCCTTCAAGTTCCTCTGTATTCAAGCGATTCAATCTTTCCAATCTTTATAAATAAGATGGTATTTCTCTCTCCTAATGCGATTAATTTCAGAACCATACTCACCACAGTGATACATTGTCATTATCAAATTCTAAGCATGACTCAGAGTACTCTCTGTAGCTCCAGGAACACAAATCAACTTTCCAATAAGAAGCACTTGCGTGACATAGACGAAGACGATAACGAAAAAACCCACCGAAAAATCCAGAGACACAAATCGTCCCGAAAACATAAGAAACACCGAAGTTCCTCACTGTAACGGGGGTCTTTTCTTAGAAAAATAGAATAGGATAGAATAGAGACTCCCGTTACAGATAATCTTTAAGGCTCAAATCACCTTCAGATTATTCTTCCTCTATACAAAATGTCCGCCCTCCCAGCTCCGGATATGCCCCTTCAGATTGAATGTCTCAAGGAGGCGAGTGGCGAGTATTCCGCAGGGTACAAAGAGGATAGTAGAGGCCGATGTGGGGACTCGCAATAGGGGTCCTAAGGGACTCTAGCGTCGGTAAGGGTCAACGAGACAGGGGGGAAGCAAAGCGGTGGTCTTCTCGAGTAGAGAAGAGGAAGATAATATTGTATAGTGATAGACAGCGTAGATACAGAAGACGTTGCGTAGTAAAAGAAAGAAAAGAAGAAGAACAAGAAACGGAGACAAAACCTCCTTAATATACCCAAGGAAATCCTAGCGATGACAAATCCAAAGTGACTCACATGCTTACAACCCACAGAACCCGATAGAACCAAATAAAACCGTTCTGACTAATCCAACTCCTCGTAACCCAATGTATTAACCAGTCGATCCATGAAAGAATGGCAGTCGGTGCTCCTCCAGCTCGATGCAAGTGGGCAGACACAGCTTGTCAAGAAGCTCAGAACCACTCTACAGACCTACATCCCCGATTGTGAGCTTGCCTAGCAAGACACAAACGAGTTTTCCCTTCAACGGTTCTTTAAACAGCTCCAGACCTACTTCCAGGATAGCCTGCAGAATCAGTTGACCCGGAGCAGTCGGGCTCCCCTCATTTTTCAAGAGCACCAGGAAGCACAGAATGCCCTCATGAGAGAAGCACTCGAGTATATGGGGACGGAGGTCAACTCTGTCCAGAAAGAACTCCGGAGGTATGCGGAAAGGGATGAACTGGACGACGATGCTATGGAGATTGAGTGGGCAAATCCAGCCACTCCACCAGACTTTGTTGCCAAAATAAAGTGAGCTCATGGTGAAGGAATGCTGGTAGTAGGCAGAGCAGGAACTCCAGGCCCAAATCCTCACTCCAGGTCTGATTCTACTGCAGCCACCAGACCAATGCAGCAAAGAAATGGTCTCTTTGCAGCATTCCCGGTCCGATCCACTAGGAGAGTCATCCCTATTGTGCAGCCAGCAGTGGGAGCCTCTCCCTTATCACCCAACCGCCCTAGTAGATTTCATGGATCGATTAGTGAATACACTGGGTTACGAGGAGTTGGATTAGTCAGAAAGGTTCTGTTGGGTTCTATCGGGTTCTGTTGATTGTAAGCGTATGAGTCACTTTGGATTTGTCATGACGAGGATTTCCTTGGGTATATTAGGAGGATTCGCCCTCGTTTCTTGTTCTTTTTCTCTTGTTTCCTTCTTTACGCAACGTCTTCTGTACCTACGCTGTCTGTTACGATAAAATATTACTTTCTCTTCTTTACTCAAGAAGACCACTCTCAAGAGGGCGAGTAGCGAGTATTCCGCAGGGTACGAAAGGGGTAGTGGAGGTCGGTGTGGGAACTTGCAATAGGAGTCCTGAGGGACTCTAGCGTCGGTAAGGGTCAACGGGACAAGGGGGCAGTGAACGATGGTCTTCCTGAGTAAAGAAGAGAGAAATAATATTGTAAAGTAATAGACACCGTAGGTACAGAAGACGTTGCGTAGTAAAAGAAAGAAAGGAAAGAGAACAAGAAACGAGAACGAAACCGGCTAATATACCCAAGGAAATCCAAGCGATGACAAATCCAAAGTGACTCATACACTTACGACCCGCAGAACCCGATAGAACCTAATAGAACCTTTCTGACTAATCCAACTCCTAGTAACCCAGTGTACTAACTAATCGATCCATGAAAACCAACATGCCGCTGCTTCCTTTGTCCAATTGACCCGCACCAATGCTAGAATCTCTCGGGACCCCTATTACGGGCTCCCATACCGACCTCTACTACCCCCTTGGTACCCTGCGGAATTCTCGCTACTCGTCCCCTTGAGATTACATTGCGTCGTCATCCGGACCGTACGATATGTCCACCTCTGACCCCCCTACATGGGTCCCATCCAACAACATAGAAGAATTCAAGCGGCAGTATGAGGTCAACATCAGTAAAAAATGGGTTTCCCCAAGACGAATTCCGGCACCCAGATGCCCAAATTCGTCTTTTGCCCCCAAAACCTCGTCTTTTGGCTCTGAGATCTCGTCGTATGTCCCGCTATTTTTGGCCGCTCGTCATTCGACCACAAAACGTTGTCCATTTAGAGCTCCAATTACGAAACCGGTCGTGCGACCTCATTAGCTCGTCTTTTGAATCAATCTATCCTAGGCTCGTCTTATGCCAAATATCCCCGTCTTCACTACCCGTCAAAAGACGAAGATGGCTCAATTGGGAAATCCTCGTCATTTGACTCGGACATAATTCTGTCCAAAATCCAAGTCGAATAATCACTTCATCTAAAATACAAACTCTAATGACCCCCGGGCCCGTCTAATAACTTCAACCTAATATGTACAATACAATCTAGTGCGTCGAATATCCACTGTTTAACATGTCTAACGACTCCCGCCTAATTCCCCTTTGTCTTCCCCGTTCGTCATAATCCCCCCTGCCCAAAACCTATCGTCAGAAGTCCACCTGTCTAAAGTCTCTTGTCTGGTGTTCATGTCGTCAGTATCATTATAAAAAACTCAGTCCAACATCCCGTCTTACTTCAGTAAATTGATCCGTATATCGATAGATCGATCGTACTATTGATAAACCATCTATTGTTCATAGATGACGTCGTCTCAGGCACCAAATGAGCGGCGTCCAAAATGCTTTTTATGTTTACTACCCATATATCGTCAGGAGAGCTTGAGCAGCGTGATACCCTTATTAGCCCGTGGTCGACGTTGGGGTTTCCATTGAAGTCCGGCTTCAATGGTTGTATCGCAGCCAGAAGTTTGGCCCTCCTTCGTCTTGGGTCCCTGAGCTTAAAGACCGCCAGCAGCCTTGCTGGGCATAAACCCTGCAAAGCGTCCAGGTCAGCCGGCTTTTGACGAAACCAGACCCAGTCGTTGCGCGCGTTTCCCCGTCTATAACCTGACGTTCCCGTCGTACGAAGTGTGTGAATTGTTCTCTCGTCGCCCTCGCCGTGCAAAAGGACGGGTACGTTGAGCTGTTTGAATGTGTTTACCCGCCAGCTATCGATGTCTTCGGGCATATCTTCGTATACAAGACATAGCTCCCTCCTGAAATACCGCAGGATGTAATACCCCAGTCTCTTTGTAGCACCTGTGATATCTACACTACCGATATTTGTTAATTTGACCGGGCATTTGACCCACCTCTTCTCCACCCTGGTGTCGCTTGGTAAATAGACCAATGGCGCGATATCCTACGCTTGAAACGCTGAGTCGTCCTAAAGGTCTCTAAGATCCCGTTTTGCAGCTTGCATCCTCCTCCTCAGACGTGGCTCTAAGACGTCGAGATTGCCGACAAGCTCAGTGGTCGAAACACCGTCCCGGGCAATTTGTAGAAGATTTAATTCGCAAATGGAAAACGTATAATCACGGTTAAACGTCCGAAGTATCTGCATTGCGGGATCAACGCGATTGCTCCGACGATACGGTATTTTGATCTGATCCCTGTGGGCTGACTCGCAAGACTCTGTCGAATAGTCCGGAATATTGCCGTATTGACGAATGTGCTCTGTAAAATGGCCCATGAGGTGTATCTTGGGGAAGTTGAAGTAGGATTCTGCTCACAAGATCTCGTCGGTTTCCGCCTGGAGATTTAGCCTTTGGTCTGCGATAACCCTTCGTCTTTGGCCTAAAGAGTCGTTTAGGCCTGCTAACTTGACGTCGTATTCCCCGCACAATTCCCTCCGTCGTTCCGCCACAAGTCTGTCAGTCTCTCTAGTCGTGCGATATTTCCTGAAGATATCCTTCGTCCTATGGAAAGCCTTTAGGTAACTATCCAACATGTCTATCGTCAGCTCATTATGAAAACGATGCTGGGCGACTAGTGCCCAGTCGACCAATGCCCGGACGCATTGAAAGGCTTTCTTGAATGGCTCTGCCTGGGCAGATGACGGATTCCTGAGGGCAGACGCCAGGGCTGGTAAGATTATTTTCTGAAAATTACGCATCTCCTTCCCTTGCCATTCACTGACCGCTTGATAAGGCTTCGTCGGTGGGGTAAATCCAGGGTAAGGATGGCATGCGCGTCCATATAGCGTTGAATTCATCCAAACGACCATGTTCCTTCAGGAAGTCTTCCAGCCACTCCATAAGATGTTTCATGATTCCCAAGTATACCACGTACAGCATGTCTGGCTTCTGGAGGTCGTAGGCTTGGACGAAGGGGAGATTCCAGAAAGGGTTGTATAGAGGTCGTAAACCACGAGAATCGAACCACTTGGTCAGCGTCTTCAGCTCCCGCCTTTCGTCTCTCATCGGATTCTCCAGTACCTTCAGCGCCCTGTACTGACGATACATTCTCTTGTATTCATCCTGATCACGAGTGTAGGTCTTGAGCGGTTCGGCTTCGTATTCGCCCAGTCTATTGACGGGTATCTCGCACTTGGGGCACAAGTTGAACTTGGTATTCAGAATATTGCAGCTCTCCAGGTGGTCCGAAAGCCATGCCGTCAGAATCGTCCAACAACGTCTCTCGTACCCGTCTGACCAGCCCATTAAGATGCCGAGCCTTTGGTCAAAGTGCAGCAGAGGCTTCAGTATAACTGACATGACTCTCCTCAGCGTCTCCGCCGCCCAGGACCGGAGTCTCCCCTTTGACCTCGCGTCGCCAATTATCTTAGGAGGTATTGGCAATAGTGCGAGTAGCAAATGCGTCTTGGTCGATGGCTTGGATCGTACTTTTCCCGGTATATTGCCTATCGTTATATATATCGGCCAGGTCTTCTTGTCTCCGGAGAAGTTTGTCAGATGCGTGACGTCGGAGCTGCAGATAATCGGGACAATCGTGGCCCCGGTAGGAAGTCTTTCCTGCATATTCCACCAACAGTCCGCTGTATGCATCTCGGAATAGAGTTGATATCCGTCCGCGTCGTAAACCCTCTCCGGCCGATAAACCATGCTCGACTTGTAGCAACGTTGACCCAAGAGATACCTCACGCATTCGACCGGATTCCTGTAATATAAGTCGGTCGTTCTTCCAAAGAGGTCCCCGACGGTCCCGTATTGAATGTTAGGTGGGGAGCCCGTCCTTTTGTCGAGCTGGTTCTGGAAAGTATAAGCGGACTGAAAGGAACGCTCGTTCTTTGTTGTCTTGTGCAACTCCTCATTGAAGTAGGCGTCAATTGATGTAGAGGTCAGCTTGTGCTCGATAAAGAAACGAGCCAATCTCCATTCCGCCGCGTCTTTGAACGGTGCCCAGGGCTTCCAATTCTCTTCCATATAGTCCCGATAGCCCTGGACCCACCCTAGTCTTTGTCCACTGTTGGGTAGGTATGCTGTGGCCCTTTGATTATCGTCAGCTTGCTCTGAGATCGGGGGGGCGATCGCCGCAGGGCCATCGTCGTCGGAGTCAGGGTCAAAGTCAGATTCCGCCTTAGAGTCGGCTTCTGAGTCTGTAGAATCGTCCGAGCCATCAATTACCAGAGTAAGCATACCAGGCCCGGCGTCTGGCAGCGTAGTTTCGTCTTCTAAACGCTCGTCCTCAGGCGCATCGTCACCGCCATGATGCCGGTAAATATGTCTTGCAAGATGTCCCGTGCGACGGTAATACCTTGGGCACAGGGGGCAAGGTGTGGATGACATCCGCTTTCTTGATCAGTCGTGATGGTCTTTTGGCTTGTCGTGCGCGTCTTTTGCTTCGTGGTATGCCTCATTCTCGCGTTCACTGGCACTGGTATCGAGTGGGTTTATACTGCTGGAATTCTGACTGAGCAAAATGGCGACTGTAGCACAGACCGACGATCGTTTCCCCGGGGTCGTCAGCCGCGACCCAAGCTTTGCCAAGCACATGCGACCTGACATCATTCATCACAACGTTGTCCGACCTCACCACCAACAGTTGCAAACCTCCGTCAAAGTACTCGTGTTGGTTCATTCATTAACCTAATCCGGCGACGATGAGCCTTTGTTTGTCGTCCCCTGCCTTGTGTATATGGTTAGGCGTTACGAGTTGCCGATTCCAGCACACCCTCACGATGGTAATTCGCACAGTCTTTGTTCTATATAAGGGTCTAAATACCCCGTTGTTTCCCCGGAGTCTATCCTCCTGAAGGCATCCACCAACGGTCAACCGTCTTTTGACCACCTTCCTAACGCAACTGACTAAAATGGTGGGAACTCGGTCGGGTAAGAACAAGTCGGCATTAGCCCAAGCGGGAAGGTCATCTCCGAAGAAAAGAATGGAATGGGCCGATAAGGAGGGCCCCTGGGTTTTGTCGATTAGCAGAGCAGCGTGCATAGCAGAGGTAAGATTTCTATCAAGTCCTATATCTCTCGCCTTCTGACGCCCACCAGGGGTATGCGAAAAAGAGCAAATTTACCCGCGCCGAAATTAAGTCCTTGCTCGGCATTACGCTGGCCCAATGGAGGAACATGTTCGAAGCTGTGCACGACTACTTTGTCGAGAATGCGATTGCCAGCAGAACTATGGCAACAGACGAGCAATGGGACGAGGCCGTGAGACTCCTGCTCAGTTATCCGCCCTGGAATAAATTCAGACGCCTGCTTCAACAGCCGGAGGAAGATTGCGCCTTACAAGGGGCCTTGATCAAAGTCTGTGTGAGCAGTACACTCCAAGATCTTGCCAAACGTAAGTCTGCTGAGGATAGAGAGAAGTTCTCTGAGGCACTCAAAGAGAAGGAGCATGCGGCGAAGTCAGCGAAGGCGAAAGCAGCAAAGAAGAAGGAGACCAAGGGGAAGGTGACCGACACAAAAGGCAAGGGCAAGCAGCGCGAGACGGCGCCAACTCGCAGTTCGACAAAGAGGAGCAAGCAGGCTCAGGCGCCTCTGCCTGACGACGAGGACGAGGTCTACCCTAACATTGACGAATTTGCCTCGTCGGAAGACGAAGCGGAGAAGCTGAGGGACAAGGCAGACGTCGGAGATGAGACGGACGACGAAGAGACATCTGAGGAAGCCGATGAGCCCTTCTCGGTGAAGACCCGGAAGGTCGAAAGGGCACCATATCTTAGTGATCGGCCTATCGGCATTTCGCATTGTTTCCCCTCCAAATACCGCTTTGAGCGACTCGGAGGGGCGAAGTTGGGACTACGTCGGAAGCCTTGGGAAATGCTTAATTGGACTCCAAGAACCTTTAGTGGGCATCCCTACCTGACGTTTAGTTCACTTCCCGGTCCGTATCTATCGGAGGTCGTGAGGATGGTCAGGGGGGTACAACTAGACCCTGAAACCCGCGGCGGTGCTTCTGACTTGCCACACCCCGCGATACGCCATTTGGTCAGGTCTCTTGTGCTCGACGAGAAGTTTTCCAAGACCGCGTCGGGTCAATATCGTGTTTACCGGCCGTTACCTGAACAGGTCATCTTCCTACAGTCGGAGAAAGATGTCAGAGTATTGCTCAATGCTTGTAAAGTTGCACCGCGACTGAGACTATTGGTGGTTTATAATGAGCGCGATAGAAATGCCAGGCAGACTCCACCGCCGACGACGACAACGAAGGCGAGGGTGAAGGTGGAGGGTCGAGTTCCCATAAAAAGCCCAGAGGAGAGAACGCCGGAGAGGGCAGCTCGAGCAAGGTGGGCCCGAAAGGCAAGGCAGGGGGTAGCTCGAGCAAGGCGGCCCAGAAAGACGACGATGATGGCGACGACGACGACGAAAAGCGCGAGGAGGACGAGAACGTCGATGACGAGGAAGAAGAAGAGGAGGAGGACGAGGAAGAAGAGGAGGAAGAAGAGGAGGAGGAGGCCCCAAGGAGAAAGAAGACAAAGACACCTGGGCTCAAGACGCCGGCCAAGATGCCGCCATCCAAGACACCCGGGCCCAAGACGCCGGCCAAGACGCCGCCATCAAAGACACCCGGCCCGAAGACCACGGCCAAAACACCTGCTCAGACTACTGCTGCCCAGCGAGGAGGGAAAAGATCGAGAGCGTAAGCTGGACTAAATTCCGTACCAGTAGCATAGTTTCTCCTAATGCGGCTAATGCGGTCAATACGTTAGACACCATCTGTTCGATGAGCCTGCTGAGAGCTCGCCCTATGAGAGTGAGCAGGAGGAAGAGCAAGGGGACTTAATACCAGAGTACGAAAGCCGGGCCACAGGTTCACAAGCTGACAGCGCTCCGGAGTCTGAAAGAACTATGCAAGAAGAGATGCCCGGCGAAGAGCCTGCCGGGGAAAGTAGTTACGTTAATGATGGCCCTGATGGGGGTATTCCTCACGGCGGGCGCGGGAACGAGTCAATCGATATGGAAGTGGGTTACCTTACCGATGCATCGGCCAGTTCGATTGAAGTGGCTAAGCTCCAAACAATTCCCCTCTTCCCCAGTTCCCCCACCCCCAAATCTCCCCTCCCCCCACTAACATCAACCTCCCCGACATCCCTGCGAAGGGCTGGACTTCCGTCTCTCGTCCTGCGACTCGAAAGAAACTTCGTTTCGAGTAGCACTGGTTGATAGTAGGTTGCACGCTCCAGTCACCTGCTCGTGAGCTTTCTGACCCTAGTCGCAACCTTTAGCTTTTGACGGTTGTGGTTCTCGTCTTTTTGTCGGCCTATCTTTTATGGCGCTATTTTTTAGCCTCTTTGGCAGTTGTTGCGATATGTTTGGTCTATCTGTTTTGGGTGGTTTGACAGTTGTCCTGGTCATCTTTTGGGATTAGTCTTATCTATTTTGGTCTTTTGGGGTTAGTCTTATCTTTATTGGATCTTTTGGGGGTTAGTCTTATCTATTTTGGGTCTTTTGGGGTTAGTCTTATCTTTATTGGGTCTTTTGGGGGTTAGTTTTATCTCTTTCGGGTTATTTGACGGGGGTCCTTTTGGTTTAGGGTTAGTGATATCTGTTAGGGTCTTTTGGCGCAGCATGTGAGGTGAGTTAGGTCTTTCGATGCTGGTTGGGGTCATTATAGATTCGTCTGATCATTAGTAGTATACTGTTATTAGGAGCGTCACTCGACCGAATACAATACAGTGATGAGTATGTTGAGCAAAAAGACGTAGCCGACGCCAAGCAAGTGCTTAGTCATCTGACAATCCAAGTCGCGTCCAACCTGTTCTCCTCTCCTGTATCCAATCTGAAGGCGAGTACACAATCTCTGTTGCTCGCTTGGCCTATGACGACTCTAGTAAACGGACTGGATCGACTGAACACAAATAGCAGTAAAGCCCGGACAGGAAGGGTGCGGGATCGAAGCCTTTTTTGTCTCCTGCCATTGCCCACCCTCCGGGAACGCGAGCTTGCTAGGGACGCCAACTCTGACTTGAGAGGGTTTTGACTTGACCGCCCTCGACTACCCGCATAGGATTTAGTGAAACGGCATGAATCTGTATTATGGTGGAGTTGAGGCTAACCCTTGGATTTTAGGTTTTCTACTAGCATGGCGACTGAATGTCGATCGTTTGTCTTCGCGTTGTTGACCTATATCTATCAGTGGGTGTACGTTTCGAATCAGATCTCAGTAATCTGATCAGAAGGCAAGTAAATAATCTCTCTTGCTCGTTTAGCCCATATGACTGTAGTCGCGTACACTGCAGCCACATGACGTAAACCTACAAACACGAAATACCATCCATATGGAAGAAGGGTATTGCGTCGGAGGGATGGGATGACTCCGTTCGGAAAGCTGTATACCCATGGCATTAAGCAGTCGAGCCCGGACAGGTTGATGTGGGAATGGAACTATCGGTCGGAATGACAGCTGCCTGCCAGTCACTCTTCCAGGAGACGAGCTTCTTCCAAGAAGATGAGCTTGACAGGGACGCCAACTCGGACTTGAGAGGGTTTTGACTTGACCGCCCTCGATTACCCGCACACGATTTAGTTGAACGGCATGAATCTGTATTATAGTGGACTTATTTAGGCTAACCCTTGGATTCTAGGTGCTCGGAACAAATCGCGGGACATATCTCCTACCGTCGTTTGCCTCTAGCTATTGGTCCGTGTATGGATCAATTAAATCATGGCAGAAGTTGCCCTCCGAGTCATCTCCCCACTCCCCCTTCCCAAAACTCTCTTATGAAGTTGGTACGATGCTCTGCCCATCCTACCGACAAAGACATCCTTGACAATGCCTCAGCGAGAGAGTCAGTTTCATTTGTCTAACTCCTCCAGTCCCTCGCAAAACACCTACAGACAAACTTCCTCCCGTCGGAACACCAGGTCGTTTAGCAGGGACAGACGACCGACCACCCAAAGACATGTACGATCTTCACAGGAGATTCCAAGCACCTTTCCACATGACTCAGCCAGATGATTGCCTACGAGATCGTCATAGGCGCGAGGACAAGAAACGGAGTCTGAAGACGATGTCTCCGAATACGGGGACCCATCACAAAGAGCTTCACAGATTGATTTACAGCTTCATGGCGAGATGTATTTGACAAAAGACGGGAGAGTCAATGCCCGACAACCTACGAGCTCGCCACTCTCAAGCCTACCACCCCAGGAGTCTCAATTTCAGCAATCCTCGTCGAGGGATACGTTACCGTCGGCCGCACAAAATAGAGAATCTGACGCGAACCAGCCACATGACACTTTTTATGCCTCCCCCGGCCGTGGTAATAGGTCTCCTACCCGTCGAAACGCCCTAACTAGTCAGACACATACTCACTCCGGTTATCAAGATTCTGAGTCTATTAGAACATCGTCGGGGGGGACCCGCCCCGAAGTCCGTCGTCAACTTTCTGAGCTTTCTAGACCGGCGTCGACAAGAGCCCCTTCCAAAGTCGTCAGGAGTACAGATTATGCTAGTGGCAGCGGCGGTGGGTATTCTGGAGAGTCGTCATCACAAAATCTACTAGCGCCGGTAGACCCTACCGATCCCAACAAAACCAGAGCTCTCCGACATCTTAGCTTAGGGCAATTCGACATTGAGCTGAGGACTCTAATCGAAAAAGCTGGATGGCATCTCACCAAAGAGACACTATTCAAAAATCCGATGCCCTCGGTATTGGAATTGGCATCCATGGTCAGAAATTCATGGGATTTTGCCAGGGCGGGAACCGACTTTCCAGCGGAGTTGTCGACCGGCGTGTCCGGGCAGGTGAGGTTTTATCATCAACGGACTCGTTCACACATGATGGAGAAGGCAAAAGCGGTAATCGCGTTATATTAAGGACTAGCCGGCATGACCGGCGAGCAAGCAAAAGCCCGTGTCGATTACCTCCTGACAGATGACCGTTTCAATTGTGATCCCACTCATTACGAGGTATATCCACTGTTCGTCCAGGGGCACAGATTTGGTACTAACGTCTTTAGCCCACGCAATGGCATTTCGCCGCACCTCAAATACCGCGTTTTATCGTCTACGCCTACTATAAGACCAATCGTGGGATTGCCGTCAACCATCCGGAATTTGAGAGTTGTATCAACCCGTCTTTTCTCTGCCTGGTTTCTACTGTACTTTACCATGCGCTGAGAGTCCACGTAATTGGAGGCAGCAACTGGAAGAATGGTGTCTTCAATAAGGACTATTATGGCGGTGAGCACCCCGTCTTTCATCTGGTCAGGTTATCGACGGGCATCATTATTGACGGTGGTGCTAGTAATTTTCGAGAGGCACATGCGCACATGGAAGAGGTCCTTCCCCGACGATGAGACGTCAAATCTAGTACTGAAAGGGATTCGACACGAGATATTGAAACGGATCAAGAGGACAAACTGCTGCAGGATTACCGCTACGGAGAGCAGGGAGGCAATTATTGACCCTGGAGTAGGCAGCTTTTTGGAGGGTCTCCGATCCAAGCTCAGTACGGAGACTGACGACGACGATATGGGGTCCGACGAGGCAGGCGATCCGCCGTTTGACGATGATGACGGGGAGGAGGGCAATGTCACTCCATCTACAGTCGGGGACTACGTAGTCGATGCAGAAAGCCAGATAGATGGGACTATTGGAACAACTACCGGGATTAATGTAAATATTGAAAAAGACGTAGAGAGAGATGTCAGTATGACGCAGGGCGGAGAAGAGCACTCAGGAGAAGTGGTCAGAAGACGGAGAGGGAGACCGCGCAGGAGCAAAGTACAAAGGGTCAGATAGCTCTCACCTAAATAGACGAACTAGCTAGAGCGAGGGGCGTCAAAAGACAATGAATCAATATACAGTATCACCTAAAGAAAATTCAAACGTAGAATCAAGGGATGGAAAGACAAAGAATTTAGACCAAAAGAGGAGATATAGTTGCCGTAAGACGAGATTTGCGAATGAAAAGACGAAGAGTGTGAACCAAAAGACGGGATAGCTGTCGGAAGGCGCAGATTGGTGAAAAAGGACGATATAAACTGTCAAGAGACAGAGAGTGCGAGCGGAAAGACGATATGTAGTGGTCGAGATAGGCAGGTTGAGGACATAAGTCGGCCAATATGAGGTAGGTAATTAGACTAAAGGCGAGGTGACGAGGGCGTAGGATGACTTTCATAGACCAAGATGCGAGCATAATGGTAGAGGGGCTACCTCCTATGTCCAGAAGACGAGCTCGTCTTTAGACGTCGGGACGACGTTTTTGAGGGATAGGAGAAGGTTTTCGTCTTTAGCCTTCGCGATATCGTCGGTTGCCCAAGAGATGCAGGGCTCTCGTCGCGGGGCACCCAGGTGTCGGTATGCAGTAAGAAATCGCTTTGTGTCGTCTGGAGCGTCTGGGGGGTCTGGGGCGCCCAGGCGTCACAAGACGAGACTTCATTTTTTGCTGATGAACGCTGCTGAATTATTTAACAACATCGCTGTCCTCGTCCAACGTATCCGCCACGAGAGGGATCCCGCTCGTACACAACTCGCCGCCGCCAATGAAACCATCGACAACCTTGAAGAGCAGGTAACCCAGGTCAACCTCGACCTCAATGTCGCTCGCGCCGCATCCGCCCCTGCCGTCTCTGCCCCTATTGTCGCTGCTCCCCCACCTACTACTGTCTCCACCTTCAGATCCGAAAAGTTCTCAGACCCTGAAAAATTCGACGGCACCTGTACCAAGCTCACCGGGTTCACCACCCAACTCCGAATGAAACTTGAGGTCAACAACGATCGGTTCCGAAACGAGGCAGCAAAAGTTATCTATGCCTCAGCCACTTGGAAGAAAGGGCCCTTGACCAGGTCATTCCACTCGTTAATGCTAACCCTGCTGCTCCCTTCTCCTCTGCCACTGCATTCATTGCCCACCTGGAAGCCTCGTTTGGAGACCCAGATCCTCGGGGTACCACCCATCGCCAACTGGTCGCCCTGAAGCAAGGCAAAGGAGACTTTGCCATCTATTACTCACAGTTCCTCCGTATTGTGGCCTACCTAAACTACAACGAAGGAGACAAGATCGATGCCCTGTCCGAAGTACTGTCAGAATATCTGAAGGATGCCATGACATACCGGATGGACAGGCCTAACACTGTAGAGGCATACGCCACCAGGTTAATGACAATCGACAACCAGGTTCGGGGCTGTAAGGCTGAACAACTGGCCATCCGTTATACGATAGGACAATTTACCGCCCCCGCCGCTGTCGCACACCCATCTCATACCGCCGGAGGCCTCGCCCCAATGGACCTCTCCGCTCTCCAAGCCCGTCCCGCTCAATGCCCTGCCACCGAACAACGATGCACCTTTGTCAATAGACAACGCAAGACCTCGCCGCTTAAAAACAATGGAGAAGGGACAACAATCTCTGTATGTACTGCGCCAACCCCGGCCATGTCTTCGCCAACTGCCCTTCTGTCAATCGCCCGCGTGGGAACCAACCGGTTATGGGTGGCACCCTTCTCGCACCCGCTCATACTGCCGCCGATCCAGCTGTCCCACCGATCACTAGCTCCCCCTCCTCTAAGTCGGGTTTTCAGTAGTCCCGGACTTGATCAATGGCCCCTGCCGGGACCTCCTAATGTTTCTCATTTGTCTGCGTTTTCTATCCCTGGCTTCTCGGTATCGTGTGTGGAGGATAAATTGGATGGGGATCATTTTGTTGCTTCTTGTAAAATTGTAAACAATAAAATATCTATCCAAACTCACGCATTGATTGATACCGTTTGCTCCGGGTTCACATTCATTGATGAAACATTGGCGCGCTATAATAACCTCCCATTTTTAACTCTTAAATCACCCCGCACTCTTGAAGTCATCGACGGACGGCTCATATCCTCCGGAGAGATTACCCACCTGTGCTACCTACCGCTGTCAATTGACTCCCACCATGAAACTATTCCCTTCTTCGTCACCAAACTCGGCTCGTACCCACTCGTACTCGGAATCCCTTGGCTTCAATTACACGATGCCACACTACGGTTTAAAGATAATAGCATACTGTTGGACTCCGAATACTGCAACTGCAAGTGCAACTCCTCCGCAACACCCGTTCCCATTAAAGGAATTGCACCACCACCCCGCCTCCACCTCGTGAGTTCAGCTGCCCACTGCCGATTTGCTCGAAGGGACAGACTCCAAATCTTCGGCACAACTATAGAGGAAATCGACTAAGCCATGGGCAAGGCCCCTAAGGAAGACTGGAGAAACCGAGCTCCAACCTGGTACAAGAGGTTACATAAAATGATGAACGAGAAGTTCGGTAGCGGAATGCCGCCAGGCCGCCCCAATGATCATAAGATACCGCTTCAGGAAGGAAAAGATCCCCCGTTTGGGCCACTCTATGGTATGTCCTGTGAGGAACTCATCATGCTTAAGCAATACATACAGGACAACCTTAAAAAGGGCTTTATTCAGGCCAGCTCTTCCCCCACCGGTGCTCCTGTCCTATTTGTTACAAAGGCTGATGGAACACTTCGTCTCTGTGTTGATTATCGCGGCCTCAATGAACTCACCGTTAAGAACCGCTAACCACTGCCGCTCATCTGGGATACTCTCGACCGCCTTTCCAAAGCCACGTGGTATACCAAACTTGATCTTCGCCAAGGGTATAACCAGATCCGAATGGCTGAAGGTGAAGAATGGAAAACAGCCTTTCGTACGCGTTACAGGCACTTCGAATATACGGTGATGCCCTTCAGCCTTACCAATGCGCCAGCCACCTTCCAAAACTTTATTAACGATTGCGTTCGCAACTACCTTGATATGTTCTGTACAGCCTACCTTAACGATATTTTCATCTACAGCGACACCTTCGAAGAACACCAAGTAAATGTCGAAAAGGTCCTAGAAGCCCTACAAAGAAATGGAGTACTGCTGAAACCAGAGAAATGCAAATTTCACACACAGAGCACCACCTACCTTGGCCTTGTTATTGAACCCAACGGCATTAAAATGGATCCAAGAAAAGTGCAGACAGTGAAGAATTGCACCGTCCCCAAAACAGTTAAGGATGTGCAAGCATTTCTGGGTTTCGCTAGCTTTTACCGCCGATTCATACGTGGATTCTTGGAACTGGCTTCCCCTCTTACCAGACTGACACGCAAGGACATATCATTCGAATGCATATCCGAAGCTCAAACTGTCTTCAATGCCCTGAAAGAAGCCTTCACAACCGCTCCCATCCTTACCCATTTCGACCCGGAGAAAGAAATTACTGTGGAAACTGATGCATCTGACTATATCTCTGCCGGTGTACTCTCCCAATACGATGATAATGGTACCCTTCGACCCGTCGCATACTTCTCAAAAAAGCACTCCCCTGCCGAATGCAACTACGAGATTTACGAAAAGGAATTACTGGCGATTATTCGATCCTTTGAGGAATGGCGACCGCAACTTGAAGTGGCTGCACACCCAATCGCCGTCATATCCGATCATAAGAATCTCGAATACTTTATGAATACTAAACAACTTAACCGGAGGCAAGCACGCTGGGCGGAATACCTATCACGGTTCAATTTTGTTATCAAGTATCGATAGGGAAACAAGGAGGGAAACCGGACGCGTTGACAAGAAGATCAGGAGATCTCCCTGGGGAGGGGAATGAAAGGCAATTACATCAGAGTCAAGTCGTATTGAAGAAGGAGAATCTTGAAGCAAAGCTAAGTTTGTTGGCGGGTTCTTTTTCAAACGAACCCGCTGAAATGAACGCCTCACTGAATACACTATTTGACGAAGGATATAACTCTGACCCGTTCCCACAAAAGATACTGGATATGCGGTACAAAGGCGAGCGACAATCAAAGGGCATATCACTCGCTGAATGTACCGAGGTTGAAGGTCGGTTACTCTACCAAGGCAGCATATATGTACCGGATTAAGACCCTCTTAAGCTCCGGATCCTCCAACTTTACCATGACGCTATCTCCACCGGACACCCGGGACGCGAAAAAACATTTGAACTCCTCAGTTGAGACTACTACTGGCCCCTTATACGGAATTACATTGCCCACTAAGTTCGGAACTGCCACCCCTGTCAACGAACTAAACCCAACACCCATGGAAAACTCGGCGTACTTCGACCTTTACCGATTCCTGAACAGCCATGGCAGGAGGTATCAATGGACTTTGTTACTGGCCTACCGGAGAGCGAAGAGTACAACGTGATTATGGTAGTCGTTGACCGGTTAACAAAAATGCAACATCTCCTACCCTATAACACCACCGTCAACTCCGAAGACGTCGCCCAACTATATTTGCGAAATATATGGAAACTCCATGGGCTACTCATACATGTCACCTCCGACTGCGGCATGCAATTTACAGCCAGATTCTGGAGAGCTCTCTGTAAACACTTCGGCATCGAAGCAAGAATGTCCACTGCCTTCCACCCGGAGACCGACGGCCAATCCGAAAGGCTGAACGCCGTAATAGAACAATACTTACGTGGATATGTCTCTTATCAACAGGACGATTGGGTAAAATAGCTCTCTATGGCAGAATTCTCCACCAACAATCAAGTCTCCGCATCCACCAAAGCTACACCAATCTTCGCGAACTATGGTTTCCACTCCCAGTTTACAGTGACGATTAAATTGCTTCGCAGGACCCCACCAAGCCTCAATGCTAAAGACTTCGCCTCGAAGATGAAAGAACTCCACGAATACCTACGTTCCAATATCCGCACCACGCAAGACCAACAAGAGTAGGCCGTTAATACCAAACGAACTCCGGCTCCGCGGTACGATATCGGCGATATGGTGTTTTTTCAGCAAAATACATCCGAACCACCCGTAACTCTCGGAAGTTGGACTGGAAGAAACTGGGACCGTTTCCCCTCAAAGAAATCATATCGCCATATGCGTACCGAATAGACCTGCCTAGGAGTATGAAAATACACCCCGTCTTCCATGTATCGTTGCTAGACCCCGATGCAAATGATCTTGTCCCGGGGCAAATTCAACCACCACCCCCGCCTATTATCGTTGAACAGGAAGAGGAGTATGCAGTTGAGGAAATCTTGAACTCATGGGGAACAAGAAACAACGGTCTGCAATATTTTGTTAAATGGACAGGCTATACCGACCCTACCTGGCAACCCGCCGCATACCACGATAATACCGCCGCCGTTGATATTTTCCATACACATTACCCCGACAAACCTGGACCGTTGGAAGGAAAGATTAAGGTTAAGACTCGCAGGAGCTCGCGCTTGAAGGGAGGGGCTACTTTCATGGATCGATTAGTGAATACACTGGGTTACGAGGAGTTGGATTAGTCAGAAGGGTTCTATTGGGTTCTACCGGGTTCTGTTGATTGTTAATATATGAGTCACTTTGGATTTGTGATCGCTGGGATTTCCTTGGGTTTATTAGGGGGATTCGTTCTCATTTCTTGTTCTTTTCCTTTTCTTTCTTTACGCAATGTCTTCTGTACCTACGCTGTCTATTACCATACAATATTATCTTCCTCTTCTTTACTCGAGAAGACCACCGCTTCGCTGCCCACTTGTCCCATTGACCCTTACCGACGATAGAGTCCCTCAGGACCCCTATCGCAGGTTCCCTCACCGACCTTTACTACTCCTTCGTACCCTGCGGAAAACTCGCTACTCGCCCCCTTGAGAACGGCGCGTTCAGTACCATGCAGTCATTGAACATTGCACCCGTCCGGTGAGTGACGGTGCCGGGAGTGAACCAGAGAGGGTTACCAAAACTCACAGTGAGTTACCCTACTCAACAGCCTCCAACCACCAACTCCGCCCCTGCAACCACAACCACGACCCCCTGTATGCACATGCCCAATGATGGGAATGGACTCGGGTTGTTCTGTTCAACCCATAGTCATAGAGCCGGGAATTGTGGGGCGATAGTTCTCTGGGAACCTCAAATTCCTTTCCGACATTGCCCTACCACATATGCCTCCGACATTGATGATCGCCACTCATTTACTGGCCACTACTTTATGCTAGGGGAAGGTCTCATCTCTTGGTGCTCTTATAAGTAGTGCTCCGTTCTTACCTCTATATCACGGCCCGACCGCCCCCACCTGCGCTGCCATCGAGAACGCTACGAAATCGAGTTGTTAGGTAAAGGAGTAGGGTGGCTTCAGTTAGGTTGGATATTTTAGGAACACACTCGGAGGATACAGTCAGCACTAAGCGCTTCAGGTTAGGTTGCGGAAAGAAGGATCGGGATCAGTTGTGGGATGTTATTATATTTGTCTGTTATTTCCTTAGGTGTGGCTACGAGGGTTAGTTATTGGGTTATTCTTTGGGGTTTATATTCGAGGCTTCGTTCTCACTATCTGTATTTCTCTTTCTATATTCTTTATGCAACGTCTTCATTCTGTTAGTTAGTAAATTCTATTCTGTTTCGATCGGTATTCAGCCCGATCCCCTGTCCTCATCCTGGAATATATCCCGAGCCGATCATCGCCTCGGTATATGCCTACGTCTTTGTCCTAGCACCCCGCTCCGTTAGATTTCCTAAGTTTTGATCAATTTGGTCATTGACTATTCATGATTCCATATTCTATTTTTCACTCCTATTTACGTCATTACTTGACTTTTTCCTTTCTATTTTACTTTTTATTCACTCACCTCTCCTGCATTTTTGAGCTGCTAGTGGGGTGTTATGTTGGTTTGGGGCTGCTAAGCTCACCAGTTTGTATATCTCTTCACTGCTTATGTAGGTTGTGTACTACTTCCGTTGGGCTTTAACTATAGATTGGTATATGCATTCCCACATTTCCATATCTGTTATTTATTTATTTTCTTGATGTCTCTGGTATTGAGTTTCCCGTATTGGTGTGGTAGTGGATTTCGGTTTTCATAACTCTGTTCTGAAAACCGCTATTTCGATTTGCTACTCGAGTATCGTCTTTAACCCATGTCCTGTTTGCTACCTCTTCTGGTAATATTTCCTTCCTGTTATATCTTTCGCTTCCTGGGTTTGAACACCTGAGGTTAGGTTGGGGTCAAATATAGGAGTTGGAGGTTGAAGGTCGCTTCATCTCATTTGTGTCTGCTGCGTATAGAATTTGAATATCGGACACTGCGGGATTGTAGGTCAGAGACTCACCTGCCATGGTTTTCAACTCTTTATCAAGTTTTATGTGAGTATTTCTCACCTCGCCGGAGCTTTCACTAAGTGAATCGCATTGACTTGGTAAATTTCGTAAACTTATACATGAAAAACATGGATATGTCTTGTTCAAGAATGTATGAATCAAGCTTAGAAACAACTTGCTTGTGTCTCTGTAACCGTTGTATCATAAAGTTGAAATCTTTTTTCTGCCATTCCCTACCTGAATTGATCCCGTAAATCTAATCCACCGCCATCTTTCACTCAATCCAGTTCCCGCTCTAGTTCTGAAAATGTTTAGATAGATGCGGTGAGGACTGATGATAGATGATTGAAATATAGGAGAGATGCAAATATAGGGTTATCTGGGTACCTTCTAAATATGACGATTTGGAAAAGAAATAGTGTGTGTGTATAGAATCGCCAATTTTAAACCTAATCACTCCAGCAAGGCTAGCATTAGAATGAAAGTCGTGTAAGACTGAGCCCACTTGAGCACTTGCGAGAACAATTCCGGTCACGTATAGCCCTATGGCACAGAAACGCATTGTGTAGCCAAACCATCCCGTATTGTAGTTAAACAACTTGCACTGCTGTGGGTATTTTCATTCGTCTCTTTAGTTAAACTACACAATTATGTACTTTATACTATCAGATTGTTCTCAAGGGGGTGAGTAGCGAGTGTTCCGCAGGGTACGAAGGAGGTAAATAGGGGACGGTATGGGAACTCGCAATAGGGGTACTACGGGACTCTAGCGTTGGTAAGGTTCGATGGGGCACGAAGGAAGCGAGGCGGTGGTCTTCTTTAAAGAAAGAAGAGGACGATAATATTGTATAGCAATAAACAGCGTAGATACAGAAGACGTTGCGTAAAGAAAAAAGAAAGAAAAGAACGAGAACAACGAACAACCCCCCTTAATATACTCAAGGAAATCCCAGCGATGACAAATCCAACATGACTCATACATTAACAATCAACAGAACCCGATAGAACCCAGTAGAACCTTTCTGACTAATACAACTCTCCGTAACCCCGTACCTCCACTAGTCGATCCATGAAAGTAGCCCCCCCCTTCAAGCGCGAGCTCCTGCGAGCCTTAACCTTAATCTTGCCTTCCGACGGTCCAGGTTTGTCGGGGTAATATGTATGGAAGATATCGACGGCGGCGGTATTATCGTGGTATGCGGCGGGTTCCCAGGTAGGGTCGGTATAGCCTGTCCATTTAACAAAGTACTGCAGGCCACCATTCCGTGTTTCTCGCGAGTCCAAGATTTCCTCAACTGCATACTCCTCCTCTTGCTCGACGATAACCGGTGGGGGTGGTGGTTGAATTTGCCCCGGTACAGGATCGTTTGCAGCGGGGTCTAGCAATGATACGTGGAAGACAGGGTGCATCTTCATACTCCTAGGCAGGTCGACTCGATACGCATAGGGTGATATAATTTGTTTAACGGGGAACGGTCCCAGCTTCTTCCAGTCCAGCTTCCGGGAGTTACGCGTGGTTCGGATGTTTTTTGCTGAAACAAACACCATATCGCCGATATCGTACCGTGGAGCCGGCGTTCGTTTGGTGTTGACGGCCTGCTCTTGTTGATCTTGTGCCGTGCGGATGTTGGAACGTAGGTACTCATGGAGTTCTTTCATCTTCAAGGCGAAGTCTTTAGCATTGAGACTCGGTGGTGTCCTGTCAAGCGATTTAATCGTCACTGTGAACCGGGGGTGGAATCCATAGTTCGCGAAGAATGGCGTAGCTTTAGTGGATGCGGAGACCTGATTGTTGGCGGAGAATTCTGCCATAGGAAGCCATTTTACCCAATCGTCCTATTGATAAGAGACATACCCACGTAGGTATTGCTCCATGACAGCATTCAGCCTTTCGGTTTGGCCGTCGGTCTCCGGGTGGAAGGCGGTGGAAATCCTTGCCTCGATGTTGAGGTGTTTACAAAGAGCCTTCCAAAACTTAGCTGTAAATTGCGTACCGCGGTCGGAGGTGACGTGTGTGGGTAGCCCGTGGAGCTTCCATATATTTCGCAGGTATAGTCGGGCGACGTCTTCGGAATTGACAGTAGTATTGCAGGGCAGGAAATGTCGCATCTTCGTTAGCCGGTCAACCACTACCATAATTGCATCGTACCCTTCACTTTCCGGTAGGCCAGTAACGAAGTCCATCGATACCTCCTGCCATGGTTGTTCGGAAATCGGTAAAGGTCGAAGTACGCCGAGCTTTCCATGGGTATTGGGTTTGCTTCGTTGACAGGTGTGGCAGTTCCGAACGTAGCGGGCAATATAATTTCGCATGAGGGGCCAGTAGTAGTCCCGGCTGACGAGTTCGAATGTTTTTTCGCGTCCCGGGTGTCCAGCAGAGGCAGCGTCATGGTAAAGTTGGAGGATTCGAAGCTTAAGAGGGTCGTAATCGGGGACATATATGCTGCCTCGGTACAGCAATCGGCCTTCAACCTCGGTGCATTCGGCGAGTGATATATCCTTTGATTGTCGATCGCCTTTATCCCGCATATCCAGTATCTTTTGGGGAAACGGGTCAGCGCTATATCCTTCATCGAATAATTCCTGCAGTGAGGCGTTCTTTTCAGCGGGCTCGTTTGAGAAAGAACCCGCCAACAAACTTAGCTTTGCATCGAGATTCTCCTTCTTCAACACGACTTGACTCTGATGTAATTGTCTTTCATCCCCCTCTCCAGGGAGATCTCCTGATCTTCTTGTCAACGCGTCCGGTTTCCCTCCTTGTTTCCCTGGTCGGTATTTGATAACAAAGTCAAACCGTGACAGGTATTCTGCCCACCGTGCTTGTCTCCGGTTGAGTTGTTTGGTCCTCATAAAGTATTCGAGATTCTTATGATCGGATATGACGGCGATTGGGTGTGCAGCCCCTTCAAGTTCCGGTCGCCACTCCTCAAAAGACCGAATGATTGCCAGTAATTCCTTGTCGTAAATCTCGTAGTTGCATTCGGCGGGGGAGTGCTTTTTCGAGAAGTATGCAACAGGTCGGAGGATACCATTGTCATCGTATTGGGAGAGTACACCGGCGGAGACATAGTCAGATGCGTCGGTTTCCACAGTAATTTCCTTCTCCGGGTCGAAATGAGTAAGAATGGGCGCCGTGGTAAAGGCTCCTTTCAGGGCGTTGAAGGCGGTTTGGGCTTCGGATGTCCATCCAAATGATATATCCTTACGTGTCAGTCTGGTAAGAGGAGAAGCCATTTCCGAGAACCCGCGTATGAATCGGCGGTAAAAGTTAGCAAAACCTAGGAATGCTTGTACATCCTTAACTGTTTTGGGGACGGTCCAATTCTTCACCGTCTCCACTTTCTTTGGGTCCATTTTAATACCATTGGGTTCGATAATCAGGCCGAGATAGGTGGTGCTTTGTGTATGAAATTCACATTTCTCCGGTTTCAGCAGTACTCCATTCCTTTGTAGGGCTTCCAGGACCTTTTCGACGTGTACTTGATGTTCCTCGAAGGTGTCGCTATAAATAAGGATATCGTCAAGGTAGGCTGTGCAGAACATATCAAGGTAATCACGGACGCAATCATTAATGAAATGTTGAAAGGTGGCTGGTGTATTGGTAAGGCCGAAGGGCATTACGGTGTATTCGAAATGTCCGTAACGCGTTCGGAAGGCTGTTTTCCATTCTTCACCCTCAGCCATTCGGATCTGGTTGTACCCTTGGCGAAGGTCAAGTTTGGTGTACCACTTGGCTTTGGAAAGGCGGTCGAGAGTTTCCCGGATGAGTGGCAGCGGGTAGCGATTTTTGACAGTAAGTTCGTTGAGGCCACGATAGTCGACACAGAGGCGGAGTGTTCCATCGGCCTTTTTAACAAATAGGACAGGGGCACCGGCAGGCGAAGAGCTGGCCTGAATGAACCCCTTTTGAAGGTTGTCCTGTATGTATTGTTTCATCACAATGAGTTCTTCGCGGGACATACCATAAAGCGGCCCAAAAGGGGGCTCTTTCTCTCCCTTGAGCGGTATCTTATGATCATAGGGGCGGCGAGGTGGCATCTCTTTGGCGAATTCTTCGTCCATCATTTTATGAAATCTCTTATACCGGGTTGGGACCCGGTTCCTCCAGTCTTGCTTAGGGGCCTCGCCCGTTGCTTGATCTATTTCCTCAATAGTTGTACTAAAGATTTGGAGTTTGTCTCTCCGAGCAAAGCGACAAAGAGCAGCTGAACTGACGAGGTGAAAACGGGGCGGTGGTGCAACCCCTCTAATAGGAACGGGTATCGGGGAAGAGTTGCACTTGCGTTTACAGTACTCGGAGTCGAATAGTATGCTATTATCCTTGAACCGTAATGTTGCATCGTGCAATTGAAGCCAGGGGATTCCGAGGACGAGTGGGTACGAGCCGAGTTTGGTAACAAAGAAGGGGGTAGTTTCATGGTGGGAGTCAATGGATAGCGGCAGATAGCAGAGGTGGGTAATTTGTCCAGAAGATATGGGCCGACCGTCGATGACTTCAAGAGTGCGGGGTGATTTAAGGGGGAGAAATGGGAAGTTGTTATGGCGCGCGAATGTTTCATCAATGAATGCGAATCCGGAGCAACCGGTATCGATCAGTGCGTGAGTTTGAATGGGTATTTTATTGTTTATAATTTTACAAGAAGCAACAAAATGATCCCCATCCAGTTTATCCTCTACAGACGATACCGAGAAGCCAGAGATAGAAAACGCAGACAAAGGAGAAACATTGAAAGGTCCCGGGCAGGGGCCATTAATCAAGCCCGGGACTACTGAAAACCCGACTCAGAGGAGGCGGGACTAGCGACCGGTGGAGCAGCAGGGTCGACGGCCGTATGGCTGGGTGCGAGGAGGGCGCCTCTCATAACCGGTTGGTTACCGCGCGGGCGATTGGCAGAGGGGCAGTTGGCAAAAACATGACCGGGGTTGGCACAGTACATACAGAGATTGTTGTCCCTTCGCCATTGCTTTTCAGCGGCAGAGGTTTTGCGTTGTCCATTGACAAAAGTGTATCGTTGTTCGATGGCAGGGCGTTGAGTAGGGCGGCTTTGGAGAGCGGAAAGATCCATTGGGGCGAGGCCTCCGGCGGTATGAGATGGGTGTGCGACAGCAGCGGGGGCGGTGAATTGTCCCATTGTATTCCGAATGGCCCTTTGTTCAGCTTTGCGGCCCCGAACCTGGTTATCGATTGTCATCAACATGGTGGCATAGGCTTCGACAGTGTTAGGCCTGTCTGTCCGGTAGGTCATAGCGTCCTTCAAGTCCTCTGACAGTCCTTCGGCCAGAGCATCGATCTTGGCTCCCTCGTTATAGTCCAGGTATGCCACGATGCGGAGGAACTGCGAATAATAGGTAGCGAAGTCCCCTTTGCCTTGCTTCAGGGCAATGAGTTGGCGACGGGCGGTACCCCGGGGGTCTGGGTCTCCAAACGAGGCTTCCAGGTGGGCAACAAAGGCGGTGACGGAGGAGAAGGGGGCGGCAGGGTTAGCGTTGACGAGTGGAACGACCTGGTCAAGGGCCCTTCCTTCCAAGCGACTGACTGCATAGATGACCTTTGCTGCCTCGTTTCGGAACCGATCGTGGTTGACTTCAAGTTTCATTCGAAGTTGGGTGGTGAACCCGGGGAGCTTGGTGCGGGTGCCATCGAATTTTTCAGGGTCTGGGAACTTTTCGGACCTGAAGGCGGGGGCAGGAGCAGGTGGGGGAGCAGCGGCAACGGGGACAGCGACGGTAGGGGCGGGGGCAGCACGGGCGACGTTGAGGTCGAGGTTGAGCTGGTTTATCTACTCCTTGAGGTTGTCAATGGTTTCATTAGCGGCGGTGAGTTGTGCATGGAGGGTGTCCCTTTGGAGGCGGACGCGCTGGACGAGGGTGGGGATGTTATCGAATAGTTCAGTAGAGTCGGCCTCATACATCTGTCTGAATGCTTCTACATCGTTGGGTGCGGCCCATACAGGTGGGTCGGGGGTGGACATGTCGTACGGTGCGGATGACGACGCAACGTAATCTCAAGGGGGTGAGTAGCGAGTGTTCCGCAGGGTACGAAGGAGGTAAATAGGGGACGGTATGGGAACTCGCAATAGGGGTACTACGGGACTCTAGCGTTGGTAAGGTTCGATGGGGCACGAAGGAAGCGAGGCGGTGGTCTTCTTTAAAGAAAGAAGAGGACGATAATATTGTATAGCAATAAACAGCGTAGATACAGAAGACGTTGCGTAAAGAAAAAAGAAAGAAAAGAACGAGAACAACGAACAACCCCCCTTAATATACTCAAGGAAATCCCAGCGATGACAAATCCAACATGACTCATACATTAACAATCAACAGAACCCGATAGAACCCAGTAGAACCTTTCTGACTAATACAACTCTCCGTAACCCCGTACCTCCACTAGTCGATCCATGAAAATTGTGTTGTCAAACCACCCAGTGGTGTATTTTGCACTAACAGATAGTGTACCTTACATCAACAGGGAGTGTAAATATCAATACTACGATATGGGTGAATATGTAAAAATGTAAAATAACTATGAATCAAACTGTATACCCCCTATTATCGATGATACTTAAATCAAGACTCTAGCCATCAAGCCACCATTATGGTTCATGATCTCTACCGGTAATTATATCACCTTAGGCTCGTGACACTGTCTTGATAGAGAAAATTTCGATGAAAAATAGTATACTCCAAGTGCACCATAGGTACATATGTATGTAATTTTAGAGCAATTTTGCGAACTTAATTTTGACTTGCGGACAAAAAAAAAAAAAAAAAAAAAACAGAGAGAGAGAAAGTCGGTGGAGTGTGGTGTAATTAAACCATAGATATCTGACACGGGAAATATTGTGGTGTAATTACACTCCACGGGGTTAATAATTTAACTAGTATACAGTACATACACCACATTGTGGTTTAATAACACCAAACAGTGGTTTAACTTACACCACACCTGTGTGCTTGGTTGTACCACAGGGTAGCGCTATCTCCATTATTACAGGCAGGCGAGTTAGATCAAATTTAGTGCTTTTGCCGCAGATCTAGCTAAACGAAGGAAATCCTCCAGATAACCGGAGGATTGGTGTCGGGTACGTAGGGTTGTGTAGAGAGTATGGAATCGGAATACACAGTGCGACTGACCCCGCGTGTTCGGAGTAGCAATTATTCAGGGCACGGCCCACCATTGGTTGCGGCGTTCTGACGCCCCAATACATCCAACAAGCCGAGAGATCTTGGCAGCAACGGCCTCACGAAATTTCTCAGGACTTGTACAGTGTATAATTAATTAACGCGCGAGTAGACACCACTGGTAAATCAAGTTCGCAACTCGATATGCCAAAACTCAACGCTCCGAGTTCTTTGCTGCCCCGTACGGACCCTCTGCATGGGACTCTCATTCCCTCACCGCAAAATCCATTCGCTATCCCGAATTTCAACTACCAGTTTTTTGCAAATCCATTTTTGGTACTCTCCACACACCCGTAGTCACCACATGCCCCCCCGTGAGTGCGTCTACTGTAGACACTCACGGCCCGGACAAGAAATTCATATTCCTATCTCAATACATACCTCCGTATCCCTTAGTCTCTCAATATATGGTGACCCTTCCTCGTGGAGGCCAAAAGGTGTGGCTCCTCTAACAAATTCACTGATATCGTTATCAGTTATTGAATCTGAATCAATCTCTCGCCAACTTACTGTGGCTTTTGGCCCCCACGAAAAAGGGTCAGCGTTGACAGACTAGGCCGTGATAGTAAATCCAGGGTTAGGTTTTCTAGGCATGGTGAACATATCCCACGGCCGCGGTCTATGGGTGTTTTTCCACCACCACAGAGTTAATTGCAAGAGTGTGTTCCTTACCAAGTGGGGGGATAAGTGATTTAAACATCTGAGCTTTCTGTGTATTCCCCCCCGGGGGGGGGGGGGGGGGTGGACGCTACAAATTCTCACTTTCTCTACAAGAGTACCCATACAACAAATCCCCAATATTTCTACACCCAACGACCCTACAAAACCGGCGGGACCGGGCACTGGTATCGTTATAGCCCGTGTATAAATCCTTATCTCAAAGAGTGTACTGCACTACTTAAGTTTGCGATGTGGAGTGGACATGGTCGATAAAGAGATGGCTTGATACGGATGCACATATATATAGATCTAGCATGAGTATATTCCTACTTTTCAACATCTCATTAATCTCTCCCAAAACACCGCCACAACAAAACATGTCTTCATCCCACATTACCAAAATCCCACACTCCAATCATTACCCCCCTCCCCCGGCTTCCCAAACCACCTCACCGCTGGCACTCAATCGGTATCGGATTAAACCAACTAAACACACAATGCGGATCCCACTCCTTCTTGAGCTTCTTCAGCTTCTCCTGGCGCCACTCGTCATACCCATACATTGCGCCAAAGCCCTCGGTGCCGCTCGCATAGTTCATGTACAGCGCCGGGCGCGGAAACCCGCTGCTCGCATGCATGATTGCCATGGCCTCAAACAGCCAGTCCTCGGCCTCGTCCGCCCGCGCATCGTCCGTATACCCCGCATTCATCAGGCTATCAACCCGCATGTTAGCAAGTCCCTGTGGTCCAGATGGAGGGTTTGGGGGGGGGGGGGGGGAAGGACATACATAACGCCCGTCTCAGCGCGCCACGGATACGCCGTGCTGTCGGGGTCAACCTTCTGCACGCCCTTGACCGAGTACGACTCAAAGACCATCCTGGCGGCGCCCGCGCCCGGCCTGGCCGCGAAGTTCTTGTACTTCTCAAACACCTCCAGGATTGCCGTGGTGTTGTAGCGCGTCGTCGCCACCCCGGCAATGCGCTTCCGTGCGCGGTTGCCGCACGCAAAGTCGCCCGTGCCGGTGAGGCCGCGGCCGTTGACGGACGCCCACGGGAGCACGGCCTCGATGGCGGAGATGTAGGGGATGTGGCCAAAGGCGGAGGCGAACTGCGCCTTTGCGGTGGCCTCGGGCTCAGAGGAGACAAAGTTCAGGACCATTCGCGGCTGGGGGCGTTATTAGTATATATATATATATATGGCTGACCATGTTTGGAGAGATGGGGGTGGGGAGTGGGGGGGGGAGACGAACAGTGCTAGAATTAGTGTCCATCAAGACGTTGAGCAGTGCGCTGTAATCGGCCGGAACTTTGAAGTTGTTCATGGCCTCAAACATCTCGGTCATATGCACGGTATCGTACATCACATTCGTCGTGTACTGCATCCCCCCGTTCGCGGCGTCGTAGATCTTGTATGTAGCCTCCGTGATGATGCCGAAATTGTGGCCCGCACCGCGCAGCGCCCAGAACAGGTCCGGGTGCGAGGTGTCCGAAACGGTGATCATCTCGCCGGTGGCCGTGGTCAGGCGGACAGACAGGATGTTGTCCGCCATGAGCCCATGGCGGCCCTGCAGACGGCCATGCCCGCCGCCGAGAGAGGCGCCCAGGAAGCCAACGCAGTCGCAGGTCCCGGTGGCTGCGATGGTTTGGTTAGCGGGGGCCCGGCTAGAATCGAAGCAATATCATATCGAATCGGGTGTGCATGTATTGTATGTACTCACTTGTTTCCTTCCCGACGGCCTGCAGCGCGGGCATGACATCGCCGACACTGACACCGCCCCCGACTGTCACGGTGTTGGCCTCGGTGTCGACGGTGATGTTTTTGAGCGTGGAGATGTCGATCATGATTGCGTTGCGGGTACGGCTGAGGGTCCGGGACCAGGCATGGCGGCGGTTCCCAGCGAGGATCTCGCGGGAGTGTGAATTTGCATACTTGATCTGTCGAGCGAGAGTGTCAGCAATGCCATCCGTGGGGGGGATCAATGGCCGGGGTGCCCTACGATAACGCTGACATCTTCGGGGGTGCCGACGCTGATGAAGGCGCTGAGATCCGGCACCGAGGTCCGCGAGTAGCGGATCGTCATCTCTTCAAACTGGGTGCTGTTGGTCATGCTGCGCATGTAGATGCGCGCCCTTGGGGAGAGGAGCGGGGCCAGGTCGGTGGCTGTAGTGTCATGGCCATTATACTGGTCGGAGTTACATGTCTGGCCATGGGCTCCGGCGAAGAGAGCCACAGCAGCTGTAGCAAGAGCGGCTGCAAAGAACCTCATATTGGCGGGCAAAGTGATGGATGGTGAATTGGAGGAATTAAGGCCGGGGGAGCACCGCTCAAAGATATATCAGTACAGTATACCATGGGTCCCCCACCCGCACTCTGCCCCGATATGTGCTCGAGACATTGTAAATATTCATAGAGTAGGTACGTGGATTGTCGCACCCGGGCCGAAGAGATCTGATCCAACTACCGGCAGCTGATCATTGGCAGGGCAGAAGAGGGCCACCGCCGATCATTGGCTGGCTGCGACTGCGACTAGTCGGGCGCCTGGCCAATTGCGAGCCCGTGCCTACTAGTTGTCCCAACGCGGTAGAGCCTGGCTGTCGAGCATTCCCGTGTTGGTGAGGGGAATACGAGGGACTCTGGTACTGCTGCACCAAAGAACACGGCGAGTACTCCTCCATTTGTGCCACGACATTCTGACCTCTCTCCCGTGTGTGTTCAGCCCACGCGTTTGTAACAGAGTAGAGTACTTTAACCATGATCTGCCGTCTGTCTGCGGTTACATGCAAGGAGCAGGCAACCTATTCTACATGTAGAGTACATACAGCCACTCTACAAAAGTGTTCGTGATTCAGATTTCGCAGTGACATTTCTCCATATATAATCGTTGCGGACCATCAAACCCCCCCCCCCCCCCCCAAACCAGAAGACTTTTCCAGTGACCAATGGCGCCCAGAATTAATGTAGAATAAGATCAATGACTTACCTACTTTTATATATAGTCACGAACTATACTATATCTTTTTCGTTGTTTTGAATCTCAACATTAATAACATCATTACGGGTGCGCCACACTGCGCACTGACATTAAAGCTAAATCACGAACACTTTTGCCTGTACATATGTAGAGTACATGGATGCAGTCAGCCGGCGAGGATATATGCTTATATATAGCGCCTAGGCCTGGGTGATCCGCGCGATGCCGGCACAGTCTTGATTTCACCCTGTGTTTGTGGACCAGAGTGACACTAATCGAGCCCTCACAAAAGTACTCTACACACACATGTGACATCATGGGGTAACGGGTTGGGTAATAGATTTGTGTTCATCCTGCCTTAGGCTCTGTGGGTAACAGAGTCTAAAATGTATGCTCGTGTCTTCTTCAGCCTTGGATGTCTCACCTCGCTCGCAAGGGTGTTCAAGACGTTGTCTTTTAACCTCCAGAGAGTCGAGCCGTTGCCCACTGCGGCGTCTGGTGGGTACCGCCGTCAGTCAATACGTAGTTCCCTACTCTAGACCTTCTGCTGATCATACATATACCCAACCCACATTCGCGGTCGTCAGCCCGATCGTGGTTGTGAGACTCGTATGTATTCTAGTCTTAAGTTTAGATTTGTAATCTACTCTACCTGGCCTCCGATCTGTAGACACCCCGCCATTTGGGGACGGCGCGGCAAAACGGCAGGGAGAGATTGCGCATTCTTGGTTACTACAGATTGGGGCTCTTAGCTGTTTCCTTTGCACGTCTTGATCATGCACTTTATCTACTACGTCCTGACCCATAATCATATGGCACAGCGATGTATTGTGTGCTTTGATGTGACTTTAGGGATAGTACCGTATTATCGTTGCGCCCCAGCAGAGTTAGACCAACCAGAGGCACCCCAGTTTGAATTGGACGTCAATTCTGCAGAGTAGAATACCCCTGCTGCATCAAAATGAGATTTCTCGGCATAACCCACCATCCTTCCCCTCGGGTTTTCTCTATCAGTGCCTAGTGCCTTGATCGGGCGGCAGAGGTTGGGACGTTGCAGAAGAGTAAGAGGTCCGCTCAATACACTAGGCCTATTTAGTCCTAGCTTACCTAATATCTTGAGCCCTCAGCTCTGCTTCCTGCTTCTCCGGTCTGATTGCCAGAGGCCATACACTACCAATACTAGATAAATATATGTTAATCCTTGGCCATGGGTGCGTGAGTGTTCGTCGACCTCGAACACCAACGTTAATTGGGGTGAAAAGAAGGACGCATCCTCGTAAGAGGCTTCGATTCAGTAAAAATGGGGTTTGGAATCAAGTAATCCCTGAAGCAATTGGAGAATCAGGTCGGAGAAACCGAGGGGTGTCCATTCGACCCCGAGGGGTAAGGAGACTTAGATTTAGATTTCTTTATATTGTTTCAAAGTATAAGAATTATCACAAAACCGCCACAAACACAAACACAAAAAAAAAAAAATGGGAAAAGAAACAAAAGCTTAACCAAAAATCCAATAAACCCGCCCCTGCGCAATCAGGGAAAAGAAAACTGTAAACGAAACCTTGCTAAGATCAATCTCCCTCCTTCTCACCTCCCTCGTCTTACTACTCCAGTAACTCTGTACGCGTTACGGCGTACCAAAACTTGGGTTGCGGAAAGGAGAATATTAGATTGGTTATTAGGTTTCAGTATGTTCTTTGGGTTGCTGTTACATGAGTTATGAGTCATACGGACAGGATTAGGAAAGTATATATGTATGGGTTGTTGTTATGGTTTCTCTTCTTCCCTTTCTCTCTTTACGCAAACTTCCTGTTTCCATCCTCGCTGCTAACTTGAATTCTATAGTTCTTCCTTCCTTCTGTATCAGGTCATTTGCGATACTATTCTCACACTACGTTACGCAAGTTCGGACACCCATATCCCAGGATACAGGTCAGCCACTTGAGTTAACAGGATCAGCAAGCTCCGCTATTTCCCAGGGAGCAGAGCCCACATCCTGGCGCGAAGCTTGCGCCCTGAGCGCCTGGTGCGTCCGATGCTGCCAGAGGATAGCACTTCCGCCAGGCTCCGCCAGGCGATATCGCTTACGTCAGTAGAGCACTCGCCAATGCTTTCCTCACCAGGCAGCGCCAGGAGATACTGCTCATCTCAGGAGAGCACTCGCCAATGCCCTTTCCGTCAGGCACCACCAGGCTATACACTTCACGCCTGGAGAGCACTCGCCAATGCCCTTTCACCACGCCCCGCCAGGATATACCCTTCATATCTCGAAAGTACTCGCCAACGCCCTCTTCGGCAGGCGCCGACAGGCTCTACTTTTCACGCCTGGAGAGTACTCGTCAACGCCCTCTTCGTCAGGCACCGATCGGGGATATCACCTGCATCCAGAGACCACCTGCCAATGCTCTCTTCGCCAAGCTCCTTGGAAGAATATTACTCGTCTCCGGAGGGCACTCGCCAATGCTCTCTCTACTCCGTCAGTGGATATCACCCACATCTGGAAAACACTCCCCAATGCTCTCTTTACCCATCTCCGCCAAATGAATTGACTCACGTCGGAGATTATTGGGCAATTCCTTCTTCGCCTTGCTTTGCAGGAGATATTCCTCATGTTCAGAGAGCATTCGTTAATGATCTCTTTGCCAGGCTCTGCCAGGAGATACCACCTGCGTCCAGAGAGCGCTCGACAATGCTCCCACTGTCACGTTCCATCAGGGTGGGTGTTACTCGTATAGGGAGACCACTCGCTAATGTGCTCTTTGCCAGACTCTGCCAGGGGATATTACCCACGTCCAGAGAGCACTCAATAATGCTCCCATCACCAGGCTCCTCCAAACGAATTGACTCACGTCTGTCAGCACCACGAATGCTCCCGCAAATGCTTTCAGAGCACTCACCAATGCTCATAGAGCTACCAACGCATCCGTGGTAATACCACCCAAGGTGAGGCAAACCCTCACTTAGACCTCTTTGAATTGATATGCTTTCGTCAAAGGCTGGTTAGGCACCACCAGTCCCTCAAATGATATCTCGCGTGGGTATCCTTCACGCCGCTGTATGGTCAGTCGCGGGATACTGATACGAGTACTGTCATGTATACTGGTGATGACTACTAAACCTTTGACGAAAGTCTATGTATCTGTCGATTCGTGAAAGGCAAAAGCCTTGAGGTTGAGGCCATGGAACGGCTCGTCTGAAAAGCTCAATGTGCATGTATAAGCAGCAAACATGAACTAGAAAAAGGTGCAGGATGACTTTACTGATCGGAAGACCAATGCCTGCCTACCGCGCCCTCCTGGAGTGGGCTTGCTGGATAGTCAGACTCAGATACTGAGCGGCTGAAACTTTACCTCCTTCTTCCAATCCGAATGCTTAGCAGAAAGACATGAATTTTGAATTAGAGAGTCCAATTGTGGCTAACTTTCCTAGAGCACTCACGAATGCCCTTACAGTATTCACTATAGAGCCCTCACGACAGCCTTGGGAGAATTCAAATTAGAGCACTCACGACTGCTCTCACAGCATTCAACTAAATTTATTCAACGTACGCAAGTCTATCCTAGTATTCACCAACCAATTGCCAGCCTCCGCCTCAAACAAATGGGCCATTCCCAATATACTCCGAATATTCACGACCCACATCCTCTTCCTCCTCCTCCTACAGACCCTCAGCAGCCCGTGTGAGCTATCAGCAATACCACGATCCTTTGCTTTGAGCAGCTCTACTATACATAACCTATGGGCTCACCCCGTACTGTCTCGCACCTTGAACAAAGCCTCCACACGTCCTGGTAAGCGTCCCCGAAATACTCCCCACTCCCCTGAGAAGGCTATCAACACCCATACCTAGTCCTTTCTTATTTTCCCCTTCCTAAAAGATGCGTTTCCAGTACACCTAATGTTGTGGACCTCGTACACCTCAGGTCTGTGGAAGATTGGTATCGGAACCTGCAAACATGTGAACATCTCCATCCAGCACTCTAAAATGCTTTCAGAGCTCCCGACGAAGCTTTGAGAGCATCCCGCATCCTCCGCATACTCTTTTATCAGGCGGTACAACGTGGTATGGCTTATTTGCAGTGCATCTGCAATATTGAAAAGTCTTTCCGATTTCGTGGAGGGGTTGCAATGACGTTTTAGAGGCAGTCGGCCTTCTACTATCGGTCGTTCATTTGGCCTTTTTCTACGATCTTCGATTTTGAAAATCTCAAGTAATTCCTTTAGGTTATCTCGATGGCTCCAAAGAATGTCGTCAGTGCTCTCAGGACCCCCAACGATGTCTTTTAGGTTCAGAATCCGAATCTCTAAAGCCAATCGTCGCCCCCCATAGTCCAGTATCTGCATCGCAGCATCGACCTTGTTCGATGCTCTCTATGCCTCTTTTACCTGACGCATATGGGCGAGCTCGCTGATGTCGGTGGAGTACTGAGGAATGCTACCAAAGCGCTCGACATGTTCCCGATAGTGCGTTAACACGTGCAATTTGATGAAGTTGAAGTGAGACCTTTCCCGGATCTCACGGATCTCCTCTAAGCATCGCTGAGTGCTCTGGGAGCCTGCACCGCTCAGGCTCAATGCTTTCATCCGATGTCTCGCATCCTTTAACATCCTCTCGTATGCCTGGAATTCTAAAAAGATATCCTCGTGTTTATAGAAATCCTCCAGATAGCTCTCCATATAGTTCAATGTACTCGTCTCAAGGGGACGAGTAGCAAGTATTGCGCAGGGTACGAAGGGGGTAGTAGAGGTCAGTGTGGGAGCCTGCAGTAGGGGTCTTGAGGGATTCTAGCATTGGTAAGGGTCAACGGGACAAGGGAACTAGCGGCGGGGTGGTCTTCTGGAGTAAAGAAGAGGAAGTAATATTATATATAATAATAGACAGGGTAGGTACAGAAGACGTTGCGTAGTAAAAGAAAGAAAAGAAAGAGAACAAGAAACGAAAACGAAACCTCCTAATATACCCAAGGAAATCCTAGCGATGACAAATCCAAAGTGACTCACACGCTTACGACCCACAGAACTCGATAGAACCCAATAGAACCTTTCTGACTAATCTAACTACTCGTAACCCAGTGTATTAACTAATCGATCCATGAAAGCTCGTCGTATGACTTCCACACTGCGCCATTAAGTGGAAGTCGATTAAGCCTCGTACACATTTCAATGCTTTTGCAAAATCACCCCTGACAGCCACCCCTGTGTTTCTCAGAGTAGCCGCGAGTGCTCCAAAAACAACCCACCCCAGATTTCGCATCTTCTTCCCTTGCTATTGGGTTGTAGCACGATATGCCTTGTTCCGTACTGCCAGTCCAGGGCAAGGCGCAATCGAGGCCCAAGCCTTGTCAAATTCCTCCAATCGATCGTGCTTCTTCAAGAAAGCCTGAACCCAATCCATCATGGGCTTCAAGATCCCTAGGTAGATATTGTGCAGAATGCCCAGTTTGTTGAGATCATATGGATTAACCCTCAGCATACCACAGAAAGCATTGAAGAGTGTTTTCACGGATCTCACAACAAGGTTTTCCACCGGTCCAAGGTTTCCTGGGTTCTCCCTGAATAGCTTTACCCTCTCCCGGTAATCCTCGTGATTGCGCATAGGGCTCCGGTGAGTGCTTCCAAGACTGTGGAATTCCACCTCGCATCTTGGACAAGAGTTAGTACTAATATTTTGTAAGTTTGAATGCTCAGATTGATTAGCGATCCAACCCGACAACACCGGAAAGCATAGACGTTCATATCCGTCAGCGCATGCGATTAGCTCGCCTTCCTGAGAGCACTTCCGAATGGTTTGAAAGATCTCCCATAGGGGGTGATGCAGCGCCATTTGACTCTGATGTCGTAAAGCGGAATTAGCGAGTGAATTCTTCCCGAGCTTAGGTAGAACTGGCAGCAGCCCTAGGAGAATAAACGAATACCCAGTGGGCTTATTCCGCACTGACGACTTGATGTTCCCGATGGTAAGATAGATTGGCCAGGCTT